GCTTCTCAAGGTTTGCACAGGTCTTGACTATTATAGTAATAATACCTAATGATCAATCACATTCGGATAAACTACCTTCCTATATAAAGTTATTTAACCTCGCGAACGTACACGTGGCGTATCTTGATTATACCTTGCCATATCGCTGCAATTGTTTCATTGTATAGGTAAAAGCACTACAGTTCAGTTCGGAATCTATTATACTAGCGAAATTAATCTGACTGACGGTCAACCATTATGATACGTTATGATCGTTTTAATGCGTCAAGATGCGTTAAGGATATATTGTCCATTAGTGCCGTATTTTCAATAGCGCACACATCAAGAGACTTATAAGTTTAGTATTTATCAAGCAAAAATTACGTTCTTATACATACATTTATTCACTCTATTTAAATAATAAATTTGAAGTACAAGTTTCATCAAATTCTTTTCAATCAAACTCATTTAATTTTACAACCTTTTTAAAGTGGAATAACTTTTGGTAAGTTCTGAATTACTGTCAAACTTGTGGTTTTTGTAATGCAGATCAATTTGTAATTTTTTCATATTTTCATTATTTTGAGATATGGATGATATATCCTTAAAATAATAGGCAAAAGCAAAGCATCTTGCGGTAATTAAACGATGGGCGGTTCCCGTGAAAACAAAACAAAACTTTCGAGAATAAAAACAACAGTTTTGAAGAAAAACCTAATAGCATTGGAAATTTAAAACACGATGTCGCAAAAACATTAGTAGACACGGTCCGCTGGATGCGAATAAAGTATATACGACAAGTGCTACAAGACGTCGCGAATACAGATCGATCTCCGCGCGAAGTTTCGCGAACGAACGAAGACAAAAGAAAAGATCGTCCGTCGACGGTATTTATGAAGTAGCACTTCGTCTTCTACTTCCGCTGATTGCCTCTATCGAGTAGATCGTTGATCCCTCCGAACCCCTACCTTCCTCAACACAGACGTGAACGCAATACAACTGAAGGTCAATCCTATCTAAAGGTTTCGCGGGATGACGTGTGCGAAATTCGAAGATGATGATTCTCGGAACGACTTATTATTGACCCCTCCAACACCGTCCTCCTCTCTCTTTCTCTCTCTTCCCCCGCTATCACCGCTATCTCCAATTCTCCTACATCACTTTAACTCTCCTACGAATGTGTGTATTCGCAACGCGATCTTTTTCTTTCTGCTTTTTTACGTACATACATCCATTCTATTACATTTTTCTGAGCGATAAAACGTTTACCGGGTCATCGACCTCGCGATGCATCACAATGTATCACCCACGTTGACAATGCCCCGGTAAATTAAATGCTGCATCTCGCTAATTCCCGCTCGATTATTGATAACGATTATCCGCCACCTCGGCAATATTTTGGACGGAAATCGTTATTATTTGCTCGCACGTGTGTTGCATGTGTGGCCAATTCATTAACGCATTATCCGAAGACTATCAGTACGCCGTGCCGGTCACGTATCGTGAAATCATTGCGTACGATCAATGTTATAAGCGACGTGATACCGCTTAACAGTAAATTTCCAGTCGATGCATTCCTTTACAATTAAGTAGTATCGGCGATTACCAAAGTCATACATGACGGTTGGAAATTATATAATCAAATTTATAATACCACTGTTTTTGTAATTGTATCAATTATACACGTAGAAATATACAACACATGAGCATTAAAAAAGCAAAAAGCCGTTCGCGCGGAATCAACAACGTTTGAAAATAAATAACTCGCGCGATTCGTAAAGAACAGCATGCGAAGGAAGTAATGTACTTAAGGGAAAAGTTCCAAGGATCTGGATGTTCCTTAACGCGTTCACCAACTCGCCGTTGCATCCTTCTTACGTCTAAATGAGATTTCAGCTTAGGCTCGCGTTGCCTTTCCTGTAGGAATCAATTAACGTCCGCGGAACGAGGCTGATTAGGCGCAAGAACTTTCGGGCGCAATTCGAGCGCATTCCCTCTGTCTCTCTCTCTCTCTCTCTATCAAGGAAACTCTCAGGGGCTGTGTGAAAATTGATATTCGCGTGTTTCAGCCTCGCTTCGTGAAGCCGGAGACTCGCGGGTCGCTGGTACCCGACCCTAACGCAAGTATCCAAGATGCACAGTTAAACGCTGTTAATCAAAGCGGAGTCGAGCGCGTGTTTTCCTGCGAGATCGCGTGCCAATCACGATCGTTTGGCGCTGCCATTGCTCACGATTCACTCCGAGCGAGAGGACGAATGAGCGAGCACGTCGTCTCGTTAATAGATTCATGAATATAACGACTTGCCTCTCTTTCATACGCTGCGTCGAAACGAGGATAAATAATGATTCGAGCCGTTTCGAAATTCTCTTTCCTCTTTTTATATCTTATCGCAAACGGTTCTCTTGATTTTGTGCTCGAAGAATGACGAAGATGCGCCACTCTACTCAGCGGTCGCATGCGCGACACGTTTCGATTCTTATAGAAACCGGACACGTGCGGGGCGAGTTTGATTAGATTTGATTCAATTTCGCAGTCAAAATTGGAGCTGGAAGCTCTGCCATTTTTTTCACCGTACGGTATGCGGAGACGTGTGGTTCACGCATCAACCGATGGACCGCTACATCCAGCGAATATTGAACGGTGAAAAATCTATCCTTTTTTTTTGTAAAAGAGCGAATTCATCCGGTCCTTGCATTTTTCATTTGTACCCCGGAAAGTTCGTTACGATCAATTTCAAGCGAGTTCTTTGTAAAATAAAAATGAGATTAAGAGTCTATAAATGGACTGATAGCTTTCCTTTGTAACAAACGTGCAAATCGTACACATATATCGGTATCGTTTGCTTCGCAGGTAATCTGTATTGATTCGCGCTGAAGTTTATTGCGCACCGAGCGCATCAAATGTCCTCCATCGTCGGTCTCCTCGGCTTGCGTTTACCGAACGGTTCGCCTCCTCGCATTTCACTCTTCAAAGAACAGTTACCCAAGATCAGAAATAAGGGCAAACATACCACCCACCGTTAAATAATAACAGCAAGCAACCCAAATATCGCCGATCGTTTCAAACATCCAAACAAGGATTCCGGGCAAGATCCAAATAATTAAACTACCGATCAAATTCCCACGACGAAGAATGCTCTCTGCACGAATTTCCTCGCAAAGAGTATTCCCCGTTGTTGAAACTATTTTTGTACATCCTGTATTTGTAAGCACGATTAGATAACTATTGCGCTCGCGCCGAGAGCGAACGTACGCGCTTCAAAATCGCCATTCTTCTTCGACCAGCCCTATCACGTTCAAATATTTTCCTTGATGTTTCGAATATTATGCCGGACGTAGACCCAGTCAAATTTAAAAATCTATCACCGTCCCGCATCACGTAATAAATTTCTACACGGGACAATCAGCATTACCATCGCTCGTGCGTGAGCTGATCTTAATCTCCTCGTTACGGAAGCCACATGGATCCTGTACGCCACGTGCGTATGAGCCCAATCTTATCGCCATTCAACATTACAACGATCGAAAAATCATGTCCGCCGAATAAAGCCCTCTGATTACATCGATTTTATTATATACCTACGCGTAACATCATATAACGGTTTTTTCGACTTTAATTAACACTCGGCCGTGTTTACTTTAATGTGATCCAATTCCGCGTTTTACTATCGCGCAGATTTATCTAATCTTATTTGTTTCAATATATTATATGATTTTACAATATATTTTTTCTCGAAACCTAATGGTCGCCTCAAAGTTGTCAAATGTTTTATCTAATTGTACATAAACACGATAATGACCGCTGTATAGATTCGACAGACAAGAAATACAGGCCGTCCACGAAAAAGTGTACACACCTGTGAACATATTGTCAATAAAGACTCGATGAGCGTGCAGAATATTTCGAACACACAAGATAACGTGATGTTTAAACATAAAACGTGTAACACTAATCTAATCTTTATCGTAACGTTTACTCTTAATTATAACATAAAGTGACAAATAGCACGCTTCTTTGGAATAATCTATACTGTCGAATTATGTAGCTATGAGCCACAGCGGTCACAGGTTGATAACGATTCATGTTTACTCATGATTACATTTGATACTAATCATGGAAAAGGAACACTTTCGGATCCGTCCGTGTAACGAGAGCTAAATCGCTTTTATCCGTTGAAAATTTATTAATTTATAGTGAATTAGATTAAATAAACTTTCTGTTTACTTAATAATCTTAAATGATTTACCTCTTTTTCTTTTTTTCCTCTCTTTCTATTAGGTGTTACCCTATGGTGTAACCCTATATGCAGGGTGTCTTAGAACTACGGGGACAAACTTCGTGAGGGCGTAAAACGGATTGAAGTACATAAAAAAATCCTATACCATTTTGTAAACAACATGCAAAATTTCGAGTTATTAATTATTGAAAGTGACCATGTATAGAGGCTTCTTTAGTTAACTCTATAATTCTAAGAGAGAGAGAGGGAGAAAAGAAATCAGTGCTCGAAAAGTTCAAGTTTTCGTAAACGCATAACAATACAATGGATTTCCTTGTGTATCTTACGCTTCTTTGTAATCGCTCGTACACCGATATCGTACTCCAAATAAAAGTGTCTTTCGCGCCTCTGTATTCCAACGCGTCCCGAACTGTTATTCGCTGTCTTTTGTTTGCACATCGACATCGCGAGAGATATGTATATAATATATATCCCCGCATAATTGTCGTAAATAAAATTCACGTCCGATAATTGTGATTAATGCGCTACAAGTAATATTTTCCCAATTAAAATTTATATTTCCTTCCCGCGTTAATCGCATTATCTCTCCGGCTCGCGCAACGTCAGAATTAACATTAATCGCTCGAACTCGATATCACATTCAGCCATTGGCAACATTAACTTTGGCCGCTCACGCCGTGACGACGACGTCAATTAGGCGCGAGATACGCTGGATTATCGCGCGCGATATCAGTGTCTCTCATTAATGAAATATTTTCGAATGTCATCACCCGCCACATATACCTGGCAGTGTCAGGAGCACGGCTCTTCAGCTCGTAGTACATCAAATCCTTGGTGGAGGACGACAGGAGAGACAGGGTCTGCTCGAAGTCGTCGTAATCGCCGAGGGCGGCGGGATGGTGGGTGAGGTCGGTGGTCAGTGCGGCCGTCAGGTCGAAGCCCATGTCGACCCCGGACTCGTCCATCGTCGCGGGGCGAAGGTGCTTCGAATGTGCCGCGCGCGACGACGCGCGACGAATCGTGGGCGCGAACGCGCGCGTTCGAAAGTTTCGCACTGCGCGCGGCGGCCGCGTTGTGGCCGCGAAAAATAACGATGACGGATACGGCGAAATCGACGGAGGAAGGCGAGGAATGTGAAGAAGATGGCCGACGAGCGGCGAGAAAAGGAGATGTAGAAGGTGGGAAAGATGGGAGATGGATCACGGCGCGTAATCGGAGGGCGAGCGGCACCGCGAGGAGACTCCCATTTTGCGGAAGTGTCAAGAATTGTCGCGCGAGTTGCTGCCGTTCGCAACGTACGGCGCGCGTGCACGCGTGCGCGGGCTCGTGCAGTCGTTGGGCTGCGGCGCGCGTTCCATCGCCCCTTCGCGCTTTTCTCGCGATTTTACCTGCGACGCTGCGGCGGCGACGACGACGGCGCGACGATCCGCAAGGAGGAAGAGACGCGAGAACGGCACCACGACGAGACGAGCGTGACGCGCGCGCGTATCGGTACTACGAGGACCGCCCGCCGAGACCGCCGCGGAAGCGTTGCGGCGCGCGACAACAACGTCTGACTTACGGCTACCGCCATCTCGCGACGATGGAACGAAACGGCCCGGCGGAAAACTTTGAACTGCCAGCTCCACGGACAACCCTGGCGCGACGAAGGACATCTGAACAAACAAATCATTACGAACATATGCATTTTTTCGCTTGCTTCATGTAACACAAATGATAGATATTAAGAAATAGTGTCATATTTTAACCCTTTGCACTCGAGGCCTTTTTCGCTCGCGCGAGCCAACAACTCGAGACGGCTAAATTAGGGAAGCATTTTACAGGTACTTTAAAATCATTTATACTCAAACAAACGTATACAAATAATAAAATCTCACCAATTCATTTATTTTTATATTGAATACAACAAAATTTGGTAAATATTACACTCTGTAATTAGTTTTCGTGTGATATTTCGTAAAACAATGCCCAAGATGCATCCTAGGTTTACTTCCCGTCTACCGCCAGGCGTGTTACGGTCAGAGCAAATCTTGCAGTCCCTTTTTGACCCTTTCACTACTATGTGAAGCTTCCCATTTAGTCAGGTTTCAACGGTATGCGACGTCGACGATTGCTCACGATGCTGGCGATATGATCCTCTCAATTGCTCGACAAGTGTAGTCCACTTCAGATAGAAACATCTTATCGCACATCGTAAATAAACAGATCGAGTTACAAAACACCGTAGCGCCGTAGCAGCGCATTTCGACTGAACGCATCAAACCTTCCGGGCGCCGTAGCAGCGCCGCTCGAGTTGACGCTTCAAATCGGCCGTATCGGCGCCGCTCGAGTGCAAAGGGTTAAATTTGTATACTCAATAAATGTGATATAATCAACATCCTCGTTTCTCTGTCTGTTCGTCAATATGCTCGAGCAAATGATTCGTTTGCATCTTCTAAAATTGAGATATTTTAATATTTCAAATTTAATAACCAAATTTTAATAAGTTTAATTTTAATACTATGCCATCCGGGGACACCACGTTGGTTACCCGCGAAAATTATCGCGCAAAGGCCGGCGACACCACGTTGGTGTCGTGCGCAAAACTATCATGCAAAGGCCGGTGACAGCACTGTGGTGCCGTTTGTGTTCTGATTGTGTACTGCTAGTGTTCTGTTTAAGTAACAATAAGTTACAGACATCATGATTCGATCGACAGACTTTCCGGTCAGCTAAAGCAACACCAGCTAATACAAATTTCCGAAACCGACAAACGAAAACGAAGAAAGTGCCATGTATGTTCCAAAAACAAAAAAAGAAGGACAACAAATTTAATGTGTAAGTCTTGTGGAGTCGCGTTACACCTCGGAGATTATTTTGCTTCATATCATCTAAAAGAGAAATTCTAAGTACCCAATAAAATATTAATAAATAAATAAATATATAATACAAAAAAATGTTACATTTATTTACATATATCCTCGAAATTTCATGAAAATAGCGGGACAGGATTGAAAACGATTTATGAGAACGATTTATGATCTTCCGAAAACCTCGAAAAACCGCCGGCGCCAAACAAAAAAATCCTGATGAAACGTGCGGACGGCAAAGTGTTAATAATTAAAATAATATTTTGAACATAATTTTTGTAATGCATAATCTTGTGCAAAATCACACGCGAGAAGATATTCCATTTCGAATCAAGATTCGAAACATAACATTGATTGCACAAATTGGATCTCCACATTACATAATATAACAATCATAAATTGTTCTCTTCTCGAATTAGGTGACTGTTCTCTATCGAAGAATTACTTAACTATCAATACTAAAACGCAATAGACCCTCGATGCGTAAAGAGAAGGCCGAAATAAAGCATCATACTTAGTAATGTTAACTAAATATGCATCAGCATAAAGCAAACGATTGTCCAGTGACGCAATTCGTGAATGTGCTGACAACGACCGCCCAATGCAACGTTATGACCTCACGCAGTATCGCGAGGTTCGTCAAGATAGCTGCTCCAAATCGCGATATCGAGAATTAATTAAAAACTGTTAATTATTCGCGAGCAATCATGCATTCGCGATTATACGTGTTTGCGCTACTGGTATTAATTTCGTCCGGGACATGTGCGTCCCGGATATTTAATAGTGCCGATACTTTGCCGCCAGAAATCTTGAAACAGCTGGACGATTATTGGCGAATCTACAAGGTGATTTGTCCTTAATACATCTTTAGAGTAAATATATGTGTTTCATTTTATATTATTCGTGTAAATAATATTATAATCTTCAACTTTCTCCCTCTCTCTCTCTCATTCTAAAATATATCATTTCTATATTTTTTAATTTATAATTCATATATATATATATAATAATTTATGACAATTTTTTTAATATACGAAATTGAATAACGAATGAATTAAATAATGATGAATAATGAATAATTTTTAATTATATAATTTGTAATTTAAAATGTATATAAGATGTATACTTAACAATGTGAGGCTTATCTCAGTCTCTCCCAATTCAATCGTATTTAAAAATGTACTTTCACCTGAACAGATTTATATAATGTAATTTACATGGGTGTTTCATAAACAAAATCTCAAAACTTTGTACCGGTGGTTCTCATCCTAGTAAAATATGTATTGATCACTGTTCCCGTGATACTTCACTAGATGCAATTTAATAAAACCTACACGGGAAATCTGGAGAACGCGAGACGAATGGCTTGGGAACAAAACCTTGTAGAGATTTATAAACACAACTTAATGGCCGCCGTGGGACATCACAGTTATACACTGCGGGATAACCATATCGCTGATCTCAGCAGCCCGCAATATAGGCGCAAAATGGTATGTAATTAACAACAAAATCCACTGACAAATTTAGCTCGTTAATCTAAATATCCGAAATCCAAATTCTAATCTACAAGTCCTAAAATCCTCAATTTCCATTCTCGAAATCCAAGTTTCACGGTTTTCAAGTCTCAGGAATATTAAATAAAACTTCCACGTCTAACATCCAATCTCATGTTTCAAGATCCCTAATTTTCACATTAAAAACACAATTGGCCAATAAAAGTCTACGCGCAGATGTTCCTGCGCAACTTTGTAATAATTGTTATTCGATATCAGAAACATCGGCTGTTACTGACAACTAATAATAATTACTACAAATTTATGCACTAATATCCGCGCATGGGCACTCATTAGTCCGTCGTTCCTTTAATTTAATTACACATTCAAAGAGCCTCCATCCCCTCATCCGTTATTCTTTATTTTCATGCCCTAAATGCAATTACTAATCATTACTTAATAAGACCCTTAATATAAAGTTGCGATTCTCTACTAAAAACATATGAATCCGTCGCGATACATGAACGGCAACAAGCCCCGACAGAACATTTTCTCCCGTCAATTTCCCTCAGGTAAAATTAATACCGAGTCGAAAGCGTCGATTGCCGACCGATCCGATGCTGTCGGCGACTTTGCAGCAACCGCACAATATACCGACTAGCCTGGATTGGCGCAAACTCGGTTTCAACACTCCGCCGGTGAACCAACGGGAGTGTGGTAGCTGCTACGCTTATTCTATCGTGGAAAGTATACAGGGACAGATTTTCAAGCAGACCGGCATGCTGATCCCCTTGAGCGCACAACAGTTGGTTGATTGCAGCACGGCGACTGGGAACCGTGGTTGCGCCGGCGGCTCCCTCAGGAACACTTTGAGATATCTGGAAAAGTCGAAGGGTCTCATGGCCAGATCAGAGTACCCGTATCAGGCCCAGGTACGCTCCTTTTCCACCTATAGACACGTGCAATTCGATATGCTGCGTCGAAACGTGTGTAAAATGGCTCTCGAATCGATTTCTCACACGATTTGCAAAACCTTACGAAACGCTCGATGCCCTTTGAATTTAAAAATGCGAAGAATTCTTCGTCTCCTTCCTCTTTTCTCTCTCTCGTTCTCTTGTTTGAAAAATACTCCCGATAACACAGTGAAAGATTTCTCTTGGACCTTAATCACGGACCTAATCGTCTGTAGGAATTTATCGAGGAACTATGTGCTCTTTTCTCTTACATTTAACAGCGGTAGAACGATGAATCTGAGTTTCTGGATTTTTCCTCGTCATAACACACAATATATAATACGTTGTTAGCAGTCGCGAACGAAGACGTTGAGACGGTGCGAATATAATTATCGCGGTGAAGAGACAAACGTAAAGGTCATTTTCATTATTTCGCTACCTCTGTTCGGAAATATCAGGAAACTCATGGAAGATTTCGACGAGAGGGATCCGAATTATGTCGGTTACGATAACGCGTTTATCTTCCATAATATAATTCAATTGACTCGGTGACGTTGACCTTTCGTTTGTTTTTTTTTTTTTAATTGATAGATACTTTGGACACATGTCATACGCAAGGAATGCGTATGTTCCATAAAAGAATAAAAAAACATTTTCTTATCTAGTGTGAGTGATTTAGTGGAACACACAACGTGTTATATTATAAAAATCGGATGATGCAACGGGAAAATATTTTATCTATGACAGACATGTCCCGATGTAACAGTATCAAAGAATCTCATGACTAAGTTTTCTGAGATCTTTTTGACTACTGATCGCCTACTCTTAAACACAACTCCATTAATTATACAGTATCAATCTCTATTGACATTGCGATAAATTAAATTTCAAGCGCGTATTACATATTTATTATTTAATTAACTTAAGTGAAGAACGATATCCAGTTATTGCTGAACTGATTCAGCAAGATGATTGGTATGTTTATCTTTTTGGAAAAATTTTTTCGTGTTATTCATAATTTACACATTTCAGGTCAATTACGCCAATATGAAAAAAAATAATTGCATTTTTATTTATAGAGGAATTTATAGTAAATTCCGTGGCATATCTACGTAATAATAAATCTTCGCAAACATTAGTGACAAATATAGCAGTTCCGATAATAAATTCATGCAACGATAAATCCAATCGTATGTATACTTTGGGAGTGAGAGATTAATTTCGAGTTTGAAATATTTCAAGAGCGACCGTTCTTGCAAAAATATGTACGATTTGACGTTTTGAGCGAGCGGGCGAACGATCTCTCTACGCCAAGAGTAATTAATTCACATTGAGCTCTTACTATCAAGTCATTCCCCGTTCAATGGTTCAAGATGGCAGAAAGATTTTACGTTATACGAAATACGAGGAAAGCTCGATATATTTCAGGAGGGCCACTGCAAATTTCTCAGAAACTTGAGTGTCGTCAATATAACGTCGTGGGCGATTCTGCCGGCGCGGGACGAAAAAGCTCTGGAGGCGGCGGTGGCGAGCATCGGTCCCATAGCCGTGTCCATTAACGCTATGCCGAAGACATTCCAGCTTTATCAGTGAGTACCGGCGTTTTATTTGCTCTCGGGAGAAAAAGCGTAGTCGTGCAAATTGCCTCTAACGAGCGAGTGACGTGTGCGCGACACGTTCGGAAATACGCGATAATTTAGACCTGCCATTTAAGAGAATATACGCTGTGCATCTCGGGTTTGGAATCCGCGAAGCTTCGCGTTCGCAATTCTCGACCAACTCGATCAATTTGCAAGGGGAAGGGAAGGCCGGAGGGTGAAAATACGTCATTGCAACGAGATGTTCGCGAATTACGACGTTCGAAAGCGCTCGACATAAGAAGGGGAAAAAATTCCACCGATAATCGACGCGAGAGCGACGGTAATAAACAGTTTTTTTCTCGCGCAGATAACTAATCAATCGTAATCCAGCAATAAATAAGTTAGTGAATATTTTAATCGCAAATTTCGGCAGCTGGCGCGACCTCTCGAAAAGCTGCGCAAACGAAAAAGTCGAGCGCGAGCGATGCCATCGCATCCGTTGTCGTCATCATCGTCGGTTTAACCTGGATCTTCGATTGATCGCAACCGATTGTTATTATCAATGTCAGAGCGCACGTTCATAAAATCGAGCGTGGAAAAATGGGGAATATTTTAGCAGAACTCTTTAAGTTAATACGTTAAATGCAATGTCATAATATTAATCATTAATGATACTGCGGCGTTTTATTATATATAAACTATAATTAATTGAATCGAATTAATTGAGACCTCACTCGAAGAAATTCAGAGAACGCAAACACATTCGAATACACGTGGCGGCCAGAGGTCAGAAAATTTGCGGTCAAAGATACGCTCGAGGAAATTAGTCTACCCGCGTGATAACCTCCTAGTGCATAGCCGATGCAATGACCCTTCATCATTCATCGGAATGCCTAGGCGCGGTCATCGAACTCGCGTCGCTTCGAAGGGCACGACGCCATTTTCCTAGTCGCCACGCTGCTTGCTCGCTTTGTCATCTTTCACAAATAAACAAACGCATACAGAAAATAATCACTTCATAGTGACTGCGAAGCAATAGCGATGGAAACTCGCGACCATTTTGCAAGTGCGCGAAAAACAGAAGATACCGATTGCGAAAACACGATCGATACTACGTTGTTAAAAACATGATTGATGTATAAACGCGATGCATCAGTGATCGCGTGTATACGCATGTTTATACGCTCTCACGTGCAGTTCGTGCGAGTTCAATGTCGAACATTTGCGTTTTCTAATCGGAAACGTGCAATGTGGCCTCTCTGCTCCACGACTTTTATTTTAATCAGATACAACGCGCGTCGTTTTGATCCGAAACGTATCGTCCATCTAGCTTTATCTATTACCTTTTTCGTGCTCACTCTCTTAAGTCGAATCAGTGATATTCTACCCTATAATCAATGAGAACTCTATTGTCTAATACTTTACCGATTTTGGCTAATGAAAGATTCACCGCAAATAAGGGAAAATGATCTCTTTGGATGCATTGGCAGCTAATTTAAAATGCTAATCGGTCTTTCCATCCGCAGCAAAGGTGTCTACGACGATCACCTGTGCAACTCGGACACGGTGAACCATGCGATGCTGATTGTCGGATATACGCCAACCGAGTGGATCTTGAAGAACTGGTGGGGCAAGCATTGGGGCGAGGACGGTTACATGCGACTAGCGAAAAATAAAAATCGATGCGGCATCGCAAACTACGCGGCCTACGTGAGAGTTTGAGCTCATATTTTCAAGACATCCCACCACCTCTTCGCATATTTCAGGTGTTTATATATTTAACCACTATTGATTTTTACCTGCGATGATCGAATAACAAATCACTGGTTACAGTTGGTTCTGTCGAGAAGAAGAATAAATCTTGTGTTTTTTGCGTGAAAAAAATATCTCCCGTCACTCTTGTGTCAGTTATACGTTTCGGATCGATGAAAGAATAATAAAAATGATAAAGGTGACAAATATGATAAAAATATTAGTTAGAGGCAAGCCGAAAAAGTGTCGCTTCCAATGGGATTTACGCGAGCTTATGTGCGGATTTACGTGCGATGTAGCGTCGCTCTACGCTGTTGTAGGGTTAAAGATCGCACGTATTCGGGCGATTAAACTCCGGGCAATTACTAAGGATCGCCAAACATTTATTACATAACAGCCACTAAACCGCAGGACGGACGCCCGACTGCCAGATACCAGACTTCCGTGACCACACGGGGATCCCGGGAAATTTAATCGGACCGTACAACCGCGGCACGATAGGAACTCCGAGACTTTGCCCGATCGAAAATTCTGCCCGAAGACGAAGTACACGACCGGCCGGGACATATCGCCATGGCATTTCCGCGAGAGAGCGAGAAATACGGCAGCGGAGGACGATCCAATTCGTGCAACTGTAGGTAGATAGGTAGGACTCGATGGACGCTAACCGCGTGACGCAACGTCAGGCGAACGTCACGTAACCGCACAGTGCAGCGCGGTGACATCAATCCAGGGACGCATCCCGATTCGCGTACGCACATTCGGGGAATCACGCGTGAAATCTGCTCTCCCGTCCGATCGGGAAAGCGTGATCCTGCGTTTTACGACAATTAATATCGGATCTGCGATCGTAAATCGTGGTGTCGCGATAGCGTGAAAAAAAAACTTGAAATCAGCTGCTCTCGAGTCGAATAGACAAACGTATATCTGGTGATTAGCGGGGTTTTACCTTCGTACGTGCGCGAGATTTCGTTCGCGTATTTCAAAGATGACACACGGGTTAATCTCCGAAAGCAGAATCTTACGAAGCGCCCCGTATTTCATTATACATGTCTCGACATAGAAAATATAGATATTCGAGAAAGAGAGAGAACCTGGCGACTTGCCACCGTCCATCTCGTAAGCTTCCGCGATTAAACGTACAAATAATAGCGTGCCCGACGAATAAAAGCTTCACTCGGGCGATATGCGACGCGGCGGAAAGAATCCCTAGAAGCAATATGTCCGGAATGCATTGTCGCTGCCTGAAGCCCGGCCTGATTTCCCGATATCACACGCGGCCCCGAGACCACGCAAATTCCATCTCTCCGTTCGGAGGTCGCCGCGACTCATTGTTCGTCGAATGGCAACGCGCAATCCGTCCCAGCATCCTCGATTGTTACACAGCATCTCTATCTGTTTCCCATCTGTTAAGCAACGTCGCGACGCATCCCGCCGTGTCTCATCCTGCGGACGGTCTGTTATCGGCAGCCCGGCGCGACCTGGCGTCGCAACCTCACCCCAAACATCATTCATCGAGATCTGTTAATCTTTTCACTATCGCGTGGATAATGTATTCATTTCAGATAAAAAGCAGCGATTCGTGAAGGAAAAAGATTGAGACAGCACACGGTATAAAAGTCTGACGACTACAGGCAATAAGCGAACGATTCCCGCGATATCGGAAAACCGAAGGCTAAGATCATTGGAGGCCGAGGAAGTAAACGCTAATTTGACGGATTGTTAAAATTTCGCCGACGTTTGTTAAATAACGACTTAAAACTTATGACGATGAAGATATAAAACGGATATTTCTTGTATAGAGAAAAGTAAATCTCGCGGAGGAGAGCAAAGGATTATACAGAATCGAATAGATGTCTTACTGAGACTACTCGAAGATTAAGTGGATGCTAAATTCTCGTATCGCCAGACACCGAACACTTTCGTTCAAGTTTTAATAACGCCATTAATACGCTGACGGCTCTCGAATATTATGATCCAAGTTTATTTATCACTCGAGCGTGTGCTTTAATAGATACTACGGTAAAACTGCAGTATAATTAATTCCTCGGATTATCTCAACGCTATTTGAGAAATTTTATCATGAATTAATTGAAAGGAAAGTAAGGACTTTACGAGAGGCGAGATGTATCCTCGTCGAGTACATCAATCTCCACGTTAAAAGAGTAAGGAAATCTCGACTAGGAAGATCGTTATTCACTTCCACCGTTGCGGGAAACAAGTACAGAAACAAGTACGGAAAATGAACTGGAAGCAACGAAGAAAAACAAGAAGAGGAGAAAAAGCCGCGAAACAATACTCGGTCGAGTTATTATGTAAGATCCGACGAGTCTCTCTCCCTCTTCTCTCTTTCACGAAGAGACTCCGTGCGGAATATAATCGTTCGTAATCGGATCAAGGGAAGTAACATGCTGATTTACGAACTTGCTTCTCCTTCGCCGGGTCCCCGCTCTAATCGTCCTTATCTCTCATTCTCACGGCCTTCCGTCTCTCCCATGAGACCGGGCCAGGAATAACTCGACGAACGCAAGCTGATCGTCGCCATGGGAAAATCGCGATCCTACTCTCAACGTCGCCGTGAGTCCTATCGATTGCTCGTTCTCACGTGCCGTGAACAGCGCTTTCGATCTTATTGTCGAACGTCCTCCATGATCCTTATTACGATAACAATAATCTGACGTCGTATGATAATGCAAACAAGTGGAACGAACGAGAGGGAAAGAGAGAGAAATGTTATTCCTGTTACTTTCTCGCGATGTTAAATCTCGCGAAGCTACGGCCACAGGAAGGTGAATCTTTTCGATCAACTACCTTTACCCACACAGAACGACAGGACTGGCGGGCCACGAGGAACAAGGACGTCCCGGTAATTTCCGCGTGATTCACGGTTATTTTCGGCGTTACGAGTGCGTTTTTCATTTCGTCCTCGCGTGGCAACATGACAAATGGCAGGCGAACAAAAGGGAAAATAAATAAGAGCGTGGATTCTCAGTATGCCGCGAGCTTTCATCGTCCGCTTTATCCTTATCCTCGCACGTACGAGGAGTCACGGAAAATATGAGAGCAACAGAATTTATTGTCCACTAGGACGGAGTCCCTTAAGAACGTCCGAAATACGTGCACGCACGTATACACGCACATCCCGGAATAATGCAGCGGGCTGAATAACGAATCGCAACGCCGTCATATATCACGATATCCGTAAACAACGGTGTTACATTTGCAAACATCGACTGCATTGCTTAGCGTTACGACCCCTGCGAAACGCCCCAAGAATTGAGAAAACATGAAACTGTAATTATTTATCAAATAACGGTGAATTAAAATATTTCAAGAGCAGGCAAAATATTGTAATCACTTGAGAGGAATAAAGATTAACATATACGTGTTCCAATATGTGCTCGCCGGCTCGAAACGCAATGTACACGTGCAAAAGCATGCGACACGCAAAGGTTGACTGCTTTGAAGGTCTGGAATGTTTCGACAATGCCGATTTTTGTCATCGCTCAGCCGTTAGCGGTGCTACGATATTTTGCACTTGACGGAAGATGGACCTTTTCCCTTTTGATGTAGCCTTTTTGTTTCAGTACTCTCGCATGTCGCGCGTGTTTTCTCATGATTCAATATTACGTGGCGAATGGCGCGCACCTCTATAGAATATGTGTATCGGTTGCATCGGTTACAATACCTACCCGTCAAGGTGATTAAAATATTCCAGCTTTTGAAATATTCAATTGGACTCCCGTTGGCATCGCGTTAATTAATACATGTTTCTTCAATCGAGTCGTACAATATACGCGAATGTCAATGTCGGTGTCAGTGCCACGACGGAACAGCGGGAAGCAAGGTGCTGAGTCGAGAAGCTAGGACACAGACGATGCAAGACAGCAACACAGGAATATAGGCAGTAATATATCATATATTTCCAAGAATACGAAATAATATAAATTTGTTTATTTCACGTATTTTTTATCAGCAACCACATAAATGACATAATTAATTAACTGAAATGGAGAATCAAAATCAAATACTTCTAATAGAGTATTAAGATCATTTTGAATATCAACTAATTTTAAAATAAGTTTTTCTTTCAAATTCAATACGGAGAAAACAACAGCAAATCGTTCAAAGAAAATATGTAATAACCTTTATAATATCTGACGATTTTCCATTGGTTCGTCAAATTTGCTAGATTAATGTAAAATTAATCTAATTAAGTGCAGAACCAAAATTTCGACTCGGGAATACTGTCACGAAGTGAGCCCGGCTTACGATGATTCCAAGTGACACTTTGAGCGCAATCAGTTCGCATTCGATAAAATTGATTCGATGATAAAATACGATCAGTCGTTGACACCACAAACAATCGCAGCATGCGGCGCGCAGTCCGTCTTTAACGTCGAAATGGATAAACGGCGACGAGCGTGCGAGACGGCGCAAACGTAGTCTCCTACCGAGGGGAAGATCGATTAAGCCGACAAGCATGTAAGCGAGATTCAAAGATCGATCGTCCGGAACAGCGGGTGACAGGTGGAGAGAACGCGAGAGAGAGAGAGAGAGAAACGTTCTGTTTCTTTCGCTCGTGTGCATATATCCGGCGCGATAAGCGTTTTCCGGAGAACGAAAAGCCCGGTGGATTTTCCTGTCGCGTCTCGACACGACAAGAGGGAGCACCGATGCGACACGACGCGTCGCATCGCGACGCTCCTACGACGAGCATCCTTATCCCGAGAATACGCGTTACAATGGCATCTCAGCCGTCCGTCATCTCTCCTCGAATCGAGTATCCAAGCACTCGTCGATAAATCGCATCTGCAGCCGTCACCGGTGAGGTGAGCCGCCGTGGGGGAGTGAGCGAGCGAGGTGAATATTTATCGAACTCGGCCGCGAAATGCACAAATGCACTCCTCTCCCCGCGCTTCGAGGGCGCCAATGCGCGATACGCCCGGTACTCCCGTTCGCAGGCCGTAAAGGGGAACAAATTGCGCCTCGTAAAAATACCGATGCGCCGATAACGTGTGTTTTCGTACTCTGCACCGTTGCGTGATAGCGCCCGCTTTTCAGTAACGGCGATATTGCTCTGGTCCAGGAGGATGTTACGTCAGTCGGACGAGGTTGAGCGGATAAATTAAATCGTGTAGGTTTTAATTTAGTATCGCGAACGCAAACGTTCCGCGCGCCATTCGTCCGGTTTTGCAACTCTCATGTGAAATTCGACAGACTAAACGCAACGGAATGTTATTACGCTCATTATTTGTAATTCCGTTTTTTTCTCGATATTCTTTCCGTTTTGTTTATCAATTGCGGTGGAAATGTTCAACAAAGCTACGAAATTTGCGGAGTATAGTTGTGCAACTCTCTTGGGATACTATTGATAAAATAACGATTGAAATGAACTGAAAATAACTAAAAGGGCAATTAGGACACTTTCTATTGTTACCAATACATATAAGATTTATCCTTAGCCGCAATATTTTTCACCTATGAATGGTCACAAATATACTAATTTTCCCATTATTTTTCTTTGCTTCTCAAAACAATTTTTCGTTCATCAGCTCTTGGCTAACAAACCCGGCACTGAAGTACATAAAAAACAGTGAAGGACAAAAAGAACAAAGAAGAAACATTGAGGTCGTGTATCAACGGCGATACGTTGTAGCCTGAGTATATCTATTGCATACATTTACGACTGACGGAGGTTTAAATATAATAGATACATCGCTCTATGATACTCAAATATCATTAGGAAACATGAATTTGGAAATGAATTCAATATTAACCGATGAGTCGACAGGACATATTTGTCATCTCGTATTTGAGCAATTCATACAATATCTACTCAACGCGATACTCACGTAAAACTTGATAAGTCGCTAGGTAAATATAAACCAAAGTATGAAATTAAACACGCAACATATAACGTAAATACATTACTATCGTGTAGAGATATGTTGTATACCGTTTAACGTATTACACGATGACACTTTTACGCAGATAAACTGACACATAGTGTGTAACGTAAATATTAGCGATATTACTTTTGTTAAGAAGAAGGTCATTGGCCCTTCCGACCCGTTCGAATCCAAGGGACCTCCTCAGCCGTCAATCACCGTTAAGCAATTTCTTGTCGGAGAGCTTTCACGCGAAAAAAACGTGACTATAAAGTGATCTTTGGACGGAGGCAACTTCAATACGCCGTGGATATATCGCGTACTCCTTATAATATATGAAACGGACGTTACAATCGCCTCTGACTTCCCTATCGTGTTGCGCAAAATTCGTTCTCCCCTACAAAATTGTAATCGCTCTTCTGTTTACCGCCTATGGACCAAATCAGTTGCCGTCCAAGCCAGAGAAAGAACATCAGCTCCACTTATCGAAACTAAATCATTAACAAAGAAAGAAAGCACGATTTAAAGCGAAGAAGATTTTTTTACTGGAGGTTAGCTTAGATAACTCTTGTGTTATCCTACTCTATTATTTTTAGCGTTTTAAGACTCAAATGTGAAAGTGAATGAACTCTCGGAACAGGATGTACAACATATCATTTTGAAGTTTCATTAACTGTATGGACAGAGTAAAAAATGAAAAAGGGAATATTATTACCCTCTTTATAAAGTAGCGCATAGAGATGTTCTTTTTTTCGTGCGTTTCAAACACGACCATGAAATAATCAACTTTTCCATCTCTTCTCCGGGAGACGGTCTTTATCAAGCAGCTGTATAGCTTCCCAATTATTTCACTGCTGATTATTGCTTCATCGTTATTCATTATACGATGGCGCAGCTCGTAATTGATGGCGATTTTAAATTACTGTGTTCCCCAGGTAATAATAAAGTTTCGCGCGCCACCATCGACGCCCGGCTCGCGTCGAATCTGGCACCTTTGACGGCAGCGCGTTAAACGCCGCGGATCGTTCTCGTTATACGCGTCGGAAATTAAACCTCCGGAAAGTTCGCGACAAAAAGTTTTCGCTCGTCACGATCAGCTTCCCCTTTCGCGCTCGTTATTAAACTCGCGGATATATCGCGGTATAATTCGAGGTGACTCTCGAAGAAAGAAATCGTTACATTTACAGAAATATGCAAACGTATTTCCAGTGAGATAATGGAGGTAGGGAATCCGCATTAATTTATGCATGCATGTAGTGACAGAAATTTATACATACGAATGTATCAGTCATATTTACGGACATGGCGAATATTTCACTCTCTTTCGCAACATTCGATAAATCCATAAATATGTATTTTCTTTCGAGCGAGAAAAATAATTACGCTTCATATATGAGTGAAATTTTTTGTTTGTATTAATGTATGTACATTCAGTCGACATGTGATTGACGACATCTCTCGCGTGTAATTAGATGTAATTTCAAAGGTATAAAGAATTATGAATAATGTGTCACGTTATTGTGTTATCAAGCAGGTAGATGAAACTTTTTTGCGCCGACGAACGGGCAACATTATAATACATTATTTGAATAACGATGTTATGTCCGTCAATTCGAAAAATTATATTTCAGTAACGACCGATAATAAGATAACGCAAACAAACGCTGCGATCTACAAATGAGCGTTACGTGCGCGAACTGCTGATTATGCGCGCTGTGTGTTGGGCGCAAATTATAGAATAATTCAACGCGGAGGATTCTGGCTATAATTTACGAACCATGAAGTTCGACAAATCAACGGGAATGAGCGAAAAGGGAAAAAGAGGCCGCCCGCGCTCAAATGCCGAAACGACGCACGTAACGAAGCTAGTTTCACCGCGATTATTAATGACACCGACGAACAGTAGGAAACGATAAAGTGCTTAACGTCGTGTTTCTTTACGAGAGTTCTTTTTTACGAGAATCGTTATTGCATGGTTTATTAAACCGGAAGAACGAGGCGGTCCAAGTGCAAGCAAGCAAGTGTTTTACCGCCTCCATGTTTCCCCAGCCATGTCTCCAAGCTTCCGAAAGAGATCGCAGTCGCGTCTTGTCGGACCCGATACATAAATAAATCTCGGCGGGCAACTTAAAAGCACTCGGTGATATTTTAAGTTCGCTTCGGTGTTCGACACGTCAAGGAGGAAAAAGATGTTCTACGTTTCCGGATCAGCGAGGTGGGTCATCTTCTGTAAGTAACGTGGTGTGCTCCGATGAACTGCGAATTGCAGGGCTCGGCTTAAAGAAACGTTGACACCAATTTGTGGCGTAGCTCACATCAATCTTTTTCACGGTAAACATTTGCCTTGCAAGAGTCTTGCGTCAGTTCTAATGAGCGCAATCGAGCGATATAAGTATCCTCAATTTTTTCGTAAGTCGAAGCTACGTCATGGCCAAAAGTTCCGTTATAACCTTAGCGATTGACTTCGATAAATTGTTACATGGCCATTTTAAAACCTAACTTATTTCTCCACATTAATATCCTAATGAAAAGATAGATGGATAACTAGATGCCTTTATTATCATTCTAGCTCATTTTTTCTCAAGGACGTTGTAATATTATAGTATAAATTAATAGAAAAAGAAATTATATATATTTAAGAAAAGGAATATGTACGTCTACATACAAGGGAATTAGTATATCATGTAATATATTAAAGCAAACCATTATACAGTTAGTATTTTTGAGAAAAAGAAAAAACAAACAATCTTTCAGATTTTTAGGCAAAATAGTAATATCACGATAATAGTACACAGAACTTGAAGATCCGTGTAGCCCGGCTTTATGAAAATTCGCCAAGTTTTTCACTTGATTTGTGCCAAAAATTTGCTTACAAAATATATATTTGAATAAAAATTAAAGTGTGTAGCAGTTCTCCGAAGATATTTGCTTCGAAATATTTTTATACAGCATCTCATATCAGTAATAGGCGCCTTATCACGCCTCGTTATAGGTACAAATGATCTATATGCGAAACTACGTTCTTGTCGCGAGGAAGAAAAACTCGCAGAATTGACAGTAACGTCGGTCGACGATGAACGAGACGAACTCCAACGACCTACGGAGGCAGAGCCAGCCGACTAGGGAATTCAACCAGGAACCGAAGTGTGGACACACGGAATCCCATCGGCGACATGTTCGCGGCGCGTGCTTGCGCCGCTGATAAGAGCATCGCCATCCAATCCACATTGGCCCCGCCGGCGGCGGCGGTGCAAAGTTCACACGGCCGCGGAGTCAACTACATCACTGGACCATCGTGACGATTCACCTCCAGTCTTCGTGAACGCGTCGCCCAGAACGGTGTCGACCACCCCGAGAGAGATCGTCGTCAAGAATCGGTTCGCGACACGACCAGGAGGTCGAGCCTCCTTCTTCGTACGCGCAGAGACTCGCCGCCGACCCTCGTAGGTCGGCGCTTCTAGAGTGGGAAAATAGTGCTTCGAGAAGAAGAAGAAGCAAAAGAAGAGCGGCGGCCGACCGACGCAAACTGGTTCCATGAATCGAATCTCGCGAGATACCAACTCGACCGACCTTTTGCAACCTTGTCAACAAGCAGTTTAAGATTGATTAGTAAGAGCTACCGCTAGATATTGGACGCGATAATTGAAATTTAAGAGCGAGAAGGTAAAATTATTCGATTATTTTTGGTATTTTTTGTAGTATTTTTCGCAATGCCGATTAAAGATTTCCTATAAAAGAACGAGGCGTATGCAAGAAAATATCTAATATTAAAAATATTATTCGCGAGATAAAGAGCGTTTCGACGTGGTAGCCGGCTACCATACAGTTCGTACGCTCCATATGTTGAAACTCTAGAAATAAATGCCGGCACCTACATTATATCATCAAACAATTTTATCCTCGCAATTAAATTTTAATTATCGCACCCAACATTGAACGAGAAAGACGGCTTTTACTAATCGATCCTTTTTACTGGTTGTTTACCTAACAGAACTTTCAAAAAATCCTCGTTGGTCAACAAGATTGCAACCCTGAGTCTGATAAAAAGGAAGAATACGGAAGCTCGAAGATCGATATAATCGATTTTGCAGATATTACATTCGGAATCCATGCGTCAGGCTCATCCGGGTGTAGTCGGGACGCTCGTCCAATGGGACTTCAGTAACCATCAGTACTCGAGGAGTTCAAGTGAACCATCGGCTGATTAACCGAATTGGTTCGAGCCGACCGTCAAGTCGGAGAATCGAGTTCGATCATTGTCTGTGCCGGCGGTGAGAAAATGCGTCTACTCGTTGTGTTCATCGTCGTTTTCGGCGCGAACAGTGCTTTCGTCTTGAGCACCTGGAAAATGCCAAACTTCATGATGAACTTGTCGAACATGTTGACGTCCTCTTCCCAATCAGCAGCGACGCCGGCCAGTGAGAAGAACAACTGTCCCGGCTGCGCACAGAATAAGATCTTGATCGATCATAATTCGTTTTTGACCGAGCTAAGAGTGGAGTATGTGAAGCAACAGATCCTGAGGAAACTGAGGCTGTCGAAGCCGCCCGAAGTCTCGATGCCGCTGTCGACCTTGCCGAAGCCTCTGATAAACGGCAATGTGCTCGAACTTCGACCCGGAGCTCCGCTCGTGCCGGATAAACCGGCGGAGAGCTTTTACGGAAAAACTAACCAGGTCGTCGTGTTCCCGCACGAAGGTAAGATTCGAAAGGCAGATCAAAATAGACAATGTGCGATCACCTCTCTCTGAAGTTTCAAATGATATCAAATATTGATCAGAAAACTAAATCTCCCGTTTATATTCGAACGGATTTAGGTAACTAAACAATAGATTTCGGAGGGAAATACTGAAATCGCGGATTCACAAACGCTGAAATCACGATAAGTGCGCGATCTCGAAAATACCCTTGTTTTCTGTGCATAGTTGCGCTACGGCAAAAATATTCGCGGAGATTGCTAATGAACAGTTATTCAGCGCGGCATGTAAATAGAGAAAAGGCGAAGAACGAACAACACGTGAGGAAATATACATCATTCGTGAATATTGTGAGCACATCCTTCTCATGGTGCCAGCCGGCTTCCGAGTGTTCGATACAAATTCCCTGAATATCGAGTGCGCGCGCTTTTCCAAGGGAGCGCAGATGAAGTGAATCCACAAATGAACTATTGTGCCAGAAACGTATCCGAACACTTGATCGATATCGAAATTTCGTACAGCGAAAGTGCACTCGCAGGCGGACTGTTTATGCAACATTTTTTAATGACGTTTGAAAAGCTACAAGCGCAATAACTGTGTATTGTTGTAAGTGGACGTATGTATGCGCTAACATCAACAGATATCACTAGTAAAAAAATTCTAAAAATATATACTAGCTTCCAGAAATGTGTTATTTTAATCATTTCGCGACATGGATATAGAAATGTATGTATTACGTTCGACATATGAAAATAATGATCCTCTTTCATTATTATCACGGCAACCAAACCCGAAGTCTAAAATTTTTCTGGGATTATCGAAGTTAATTATTCGCAAACAATTTCTACCTGTAGATCAAAAAAATAAGTGTACTTATAGATATATAATAAATTTATATTGATAGATGTCGATATTAAATCTATACTTGACGGTATTTACTTTGATTTTATACATTACTGCTGTACTAGATCAATATATAGACTCTTAATGGCCCTGTAGTTAACAATATTTTTGAATTTCCACTTGATTCCTGATGATCATCTAGCATTTTATATTCGCACATATGTCCGGCATACACGCGTGAAGCTAACCATCTCGCATCTCGAAAATAGTTTCCTGAGAAGCTCGCTTCATTCTTTCTGCAGGCTGGCCGTGCCTCTCGACAACCCCTTCTTGGCCAGCCAGACGAGAAACACCGGCGAGGATATGAATATTGCGTAATTGCACGGCTCCCTCGAAATAAACGAGAACCGGTAACAATGACGCCGTTTCTCTCTCCGCGGTGCGGCACTTCTGGATAGGTACCGACTGGGACCATGAATTTCAAATTTTCCGCGACGATGCAAATACGGAAGCCGCGTGAACGACGTACGTATGAATCCCGGCGCGGCGGAAATTTACCTCGAATTACGACGCGAAATCACGGTTCCGACATTTTAATCGCCCGCGTGAATCATTTTCGACGTGTTTGGCGAATTTCTTAAAATCGCAGAACCGTCCGGGAGATCCGCCCCGTTCGTGCGGCGCGAAACCTTCCGGCTCGCGAAATGAAATGTTACTCCGAGGAATTTTATCGAATGCGCGAGAGAGAATAAGAGAATGCGGAGAATAGGCAAAAGAAACGAGAGAAGAATAGGTGAATTTGCATTTTTGCCAAATGTCGTTTGAATTAACCGTTAACGCACGAGGCAAATGTTTTTCCCCCGAGATCCACTGTGGAGATTTATAAAGGGGTGTGGCGTAAGCTAAAAAGATAATTAAGGGATTCATTGCTTAAATTTTTCTCCCTGCGCCCGTTTAGAATAACAATTGCCCGTGATAAGGTAGCACACGCGAACGTTTTTACGCTTAAAGCCAACTGTTTCCATTTCGGCATTTTACCGCGTCATGCAACTTTGTTTGCAACGTGGAGCGATGCATAATTTACGAACACATAATTTCTTGCGGATGGCGGAATGCGGGAATACGATAGTGTATAACCGTTCATCAGCTGCACGAATATGCTGAATATTATTGTCCCGAATTTTCTTTCACGCCTTTTTACCGTGTTTCTCGCGCGCACGCGAGACTGTGCGAATACGTTGACCGCGTTTACGAAATTTTTTAGAGATCTATACTTTTCATAATGAAAGTGTCAGAAAAGCGTCTTCTCTAACCAAGAAACAAGTCCATTAAAATAAGATAAAAGCTTACAAAAAGATGAAAAAGCAGAAGAAAGAGAGAGAAAGGCAATATTCACAAATTTATGCCGAATCTAATTTCTCTACGATTCACAGCTACAGCCTTACTAACATTGGCGCGCATTGATATGTCACTGCATATATTTCATATGACTTTCCGCGGCAAGGCGATTGCGCAAGCCAATCTGACTGTGCCCAAGTCGCTTTTTATCTAATTCCGTCACGAATCTACCGCACACGGATGTACGCGCGCGCACATATTCACATATACACGGTAAGTCGTACGGGCTCTCGTAATATCGGCGCGGAACATTTGGCCTCGTTAACCCGCAGCGATTTCAGCGCGAAAGCTGCAGATTACGGCAGTGCGGTCGAAGGTCAGTGAACCGGAAGTGTTCATCGCGCTGTCGAATTCCGCTGGAAAGTAGTACATGTTCGAAAACGTCCTGAAGGTACGTGGAATTCGTCCCGTGAATAATTCGGCCCGGAAATCGGGTATGTGCTGGGCGTAAATGAAAAGCTGATGAACTACAGGAGTGCGATAGACTAATCTCCGACGGAACGTGAGGATTGTATGATGCGAGAATGATTATATTTTCTCAGTTAGAGAACAATATTATACAATGACTATATCACGGATAAAACATTTCGCGAAAATAAAAAAGAAATAGAATCCCGCTTTGTTTTTACGTGGTTGAGCTACTCATTAACGCGATCGTTGCATCATACATAATAACAACTTCTGTTATCATCATTGTGGAGGCAACTCTTCGTTTTATAACCGATTTTTTAGGCGTTACAGAGAGGAAGTTTGACATTCTATTTAAAATATAGCATGTATTTAAAAACTCAATGAGGTCAGTGAGAGCAGTCTTTCCGCTCGTACGTATTCACAAAGTGTGTGTAGTTGAGGCCGTTATTTAGATGGAAAACAATAAACAACAAATGTGATGGTAAAAATGTAACGTATCTGTGTGTGTTACTGACGCTTGGCACGCGTTGTGCAACGATACAGATTCACTCTGACGCCTGGCGTTGCATAATCCCGGCTACAAATCATGCGGAAGTGGCGATCAATCGGACACGCTGATCGCCCAAGAATCCGCCCGGAAATAATTTCCACGCGCTTGATAGTGTATGTTGCATCGCAGATTGCCGCAGAACAATCGACATATACGCGTCGGCGGAGTTTGACGCGCGGTTTTTCGCGGCGATTTTCCGAGTCGCGAATAGGGCTGGACAATTTCGACGTGAAAATTGTCAGGAAATGTTTCATAAAACAACACCAAAGTCTAAAAAAAAAAAAAAATAACAATAGTGACTTCAAATTTACATAAGCCGACTCTTTTTTTTTTCAGTTTTCCAAGAGGACTTTTATTATTTTAATCAGTGCAAAGACAACAGCGAATATTCATGTTGTTAAAATATGCGTTACATTTTTTTAAATACCAAAATAATTTACGTTTTGCGATGTTTCGCGCAATTCAGGCAATCATATGCAAATAATTGCTAAAGTGTCCTTTTCCGTTAATTTTGGACAGTTATCGACTTTTTTTATCACGCGCGAATGATTCGATCATCGAAGTTCTGTTTAACCTCAGGGTCACTTATTGCACGTGCTCGCTCAGAGATATCCTTTTTCGCACTTTGTCCCAGCTACAAGAGCCTTTTAACGCGCACTTTTTCAGATAATTGTGGTTCCATTTGAGGCTTGCTTCGAGCATCGCCGTAAATTGCAGGCCGATCGTGCAGCCAAAGGCGCACTCTCAAAAGTCTCGAATAACTGAGTCTCCAATGTCGTTCGTTGGTATACTAAATTAGTTTGTAATGGGATAACCCGCATATACGCGTTCGTCATGGCAGAGAGGCAACCGGATAGCCATATGACGCTCTCAGAGAAGAGGCTAAATAAGGAATATTAAAATTATCAGAAGGATAAAAAGTGAGATGGACGATAGTAGAGAAGAACGATATTATCGCGTGCGTTTCATATTCCCATGAAAAAACGGGAATATATATTTTTTTCTCCTTTCATAACTCATAAAATCGAAATATATACTCTTACGAAATTAAAATTTAATAAAAATAAATTATAAAACACGTTAAATAAGTAATAAAACTCGTAGAATTTTTTCGCGATAATTCTCTTATCGATAATTTTGTCGCTTATTTCCGTCGGATATCCTAAATCAATCTCCACGTGTATCTAACGTCATAATAAAATATTTTTGTAGATCGCGGTAAAAAAATCGAAGTGTGAATATTTCAAAGAAATGGAAAACTCTGATAAAGATTAATTTATCGAATCTAATCAGTTTTCCTTTCGACCTTTTTGTTTAAAATCTGACGATATTGACCTTATTATATTTTTCCTAAGAAAATACAACGCGACTGTTACATGTTACAGGTGTAGCCGATGCTACGAAATGCCATCACAGCTCGAATCACCTAGTAGAGTTCAGTGCAACCTGTTTCACGTTTTACCTGCCGAACGAGATGCAATTCGTCGACGTGACCTCGGCTCAGCTCTGGTTCTACAAGGAGTACGACGAGAATGACTATCTCAACCAGACCTTCGTTCTATCCGAGCTCGATCACTGGGACCAGGGTGGAAGCTTCGAAAAGAACACCGTCATGGCAATCTTCGAGACCGATATTGGAGGTAGGTAAATGGCGAATGGAATCCCACCCCCGTCTATCCGTCCGTCCGTTCGTCACGAATCCACACCGCATAGAAATCTTCCGTCGTGAAATTTTGTTATCCCATCACTGCAGGCACTTTGCGAGCTCGTCCTCCGCTAGCACATCGCAATTTCGCCGAAAATTTCATACGAATGATGAAGGATAATTTTCTGATATCACGATATCATGAGCGATCTCTAACGTTTCCTACAGATCGCTGCGGGATACGATTGGGAATCGATCGTTAAACGAAAAGTCTGACCAGAAGAGTGTCATGTCAAAGTCTCGACAGAAAATTTATTGCGTTTATCGTTCCGAAAGAATTCGATCGAAAATTAAAGAATTAAAGTGTGAGAAGTCTAATACCCTTGCCGCAAAAATTAATCAACTAAAGAGCAACGAATGTTGCAGTAATTATACTCTGCTTGAGGAAAGTCATATTTTTTTAAACGTCGGATCTTGCAACAGGTTCCTCCGGAACATCGCGCGACATTACTCCATATCACCATTATATTCGTGCCAACAAACTATAACGATTTCGCGCTATCTTCACTTTCAGAGGGTTGGGTGGAAATGAACGTGGATTTCATAGTGAAGAAGTGGGTAAATCGACACCGATTGAACCACACCATTCAAATAGCCTGCAACACTTGCTCGGATAACCGCGACACCGCTCCGGTATCCGTCGAGTTGACTCTAAAGCCCTTCCTCGTAATCCACACGGCGCCGTTGCCGCAGAGGAACAGGCCCAAGAGGAACTCGAACTGCCTGCCCGAAATGAAGGAGTGCTGCAGAGACGAGCTCTACATTAACTTCGAGGACATCGGCTGGAACGACTGGATTCTGTACCCGAGCGGGTATCACGCGTACTTCTGTCGAGGATCCTGCTCTTCGGCAGCATCCTTGACCGTAAACAGCTCGTCTCACAGCAACGTTATCAGGGTGAGAACAACACGACTTTTCGCGTTTTCACGAGGTCGATCTGCAAAAATACAGATTGAATCTAGATTCGCGTCTTTAGTGTTTAGCAGAAATTCCAAAGTCGAATTTGATTTAATTTCTGGTTTCCAACTCTAACGTTGGAAATTTTATTCTCTCGTCTTGTCTCGCAATTAATGTCGATCGTAATTGTGTTGACACGCTGTCTACTGAACTTAATTAACCCTTAGTAAAAATCCAATTAATAATTTAGTCCTAAAGTTTCGGTATAAATACAAATAGATCTATTCGTACATTCATACAACTTTGTATTTTCCAATATTTAAGTATAGTTTATCAGTTATTAATTTTTTTCGTTATCATTAGAGTGCATTGCTTGATTCTCATATCATTTCATATCAGAATTCTTCGAAATAACTAGAATCATCGATTATTCAGCTAATCCTTCTTCCCTAGGTTTTTCCTGTTTATATTATTACAACGTGGTTAATATATATATCACTTGCAATATAGTAAAAAGGTTTTCTTTGTGAACTAAATAACCCAGCATTCTTATTTCGCGAAATAGCTCGCTCTTATCAGATCGTACAGTACGCGGATATGTAACAACCGATTATCGTGCCGCTGGGAGAAATTTATGTTGCCAGAGTGATTTATATTCGTTCCATCTTTGTGCGCGCAAAAAACGCAAGTGACACGCGGAGGAGGGTGGGAAGGACACTGACGCTGCGCCTCTTTCTCTCTCCTTTGCTATTTCGAAAAGGTTTCTCCTCGCTTTTACTGTCAATCATATCGCATTACGTAAGGCATATTGCTAATATTACTGATACGCAAGACTTATTATTGCCGATAACGCGTATAAAAAGCCTCAGAAATCGACGCGTTGCATCTCGTTTTCAGAATAATTGCATTCCATTGAAAGAATAGAGTTAAGCGTTACGTACTTTAAGTGATTGAAATCAATTGTATCGATTGAGTCGCCGCATTTCAACATCGAGTAGAAGCATCTTCGCGACTTTTCTTATTCACGTTTCTCTGGTACGAAAAATTCTGAATCAAGAAAGCGAATGATTTATATTTCATGCATTCTTCCATGCACACACGTAGTCTCATGGTTCCTACTTCTATAAAGACTGTCCAGCAGAAGAAGTAATTCCTTTCCGACTCTTACGGCCAATTTACGCTTTACTTAACGTAAAAAAATATAGTCGCCCTGCATAACCGCGTCCTTTATTACCTGCATTAATTGTTAATAAAAGTCGGGTAGAGGCACTCTTGTTATACCGCGGCACATAATGTGGGTAATATAGTTTGCAACTCGTAACGATAATGGGGCGTTAAGACTCCATTATCACGCAACGTAAAACCCCATTAACTTAGGTCTATGCTTTCTGCCATATACGAAGCGTGACGCGAGAAATATCGTTTGCATACGCGAAATGGAGATGACTTTCTTACGTTTAGCCCGGGGGCGGCTGAAAAGAACGGTATTCGCCTCTACCGCTCTTTATCCGTTCGCCCGCTATTTCTCACGGAACGTTTCACTATTAAAACACGGACCTCCAAACACCGCAACTCTTTGCAAATGACTAAAATTTACTTCGAAACTTATTCCAACTCCGATAATCAATCCCCTTTTCTCTCGCCGAGTTGTTTCTTTCGAAACAAGTATCTTTTGTAGGCGGGAACAGATAAGTTAAAAAAAAAATCAGAATTTTATCAAGTAATTTCTATGAAAATAAACTCCCAAGATAATGTATCTAGAATATGTATTAAACATTACATTTATCCACTCAAACAAGGTGACGTTAAGTGACGTCTGCGTAACGTCTTAATGACGTCTCCAACATCAATAATATTTACGTCATTAAAACGTCATATGTCATTTGATGTCACTTTATTACTTGAACAGTAATGTTTTTGCCCTGTTATTTCACTATAATCATATAATTCCACGAACGAGATATGACTTCCAGAGCAAAAAATCATGTAAAAAAAAATAGAATTTTTTATCGTATAATTTCAAGTTCTCCCAGTTCACCGACTCCAGGCTGGAGGATCGCTCGGAAATCGACAATAAAGCCACGCACGTCAGTCATAAATTTATCATACCCGCCCGCATTTGTGCAAAACGCGAATCTCTGCGAATTTAACGAGCATGGTGACGTCGCTCCTGCTTACAGAAGTTGTTGGGCAACAAGGGCAACGTGCAGCGGAAGAGCGAGATAGTGCCGTGCTGCTCGCCGACGCAGCTCGCCCCGATTCAGCTGCTCTACATCGACACGAACAACACGATCACGCGAAAAACATTGCCGAACATGGTGGTGGAGGCATGCGGTTGCATGTGACGCTATCACGAGAACAGAGAAGATGGACCACTAAATCCCGACGCGAGTATACCGGACTCCACCAACACCCCTTTACTCCGCCGCCACTTTTGCTCACGCTTAATCACCGTGAGTCTAAACTTGCCGGGACTTGTCGTCCATCTCGTGCGAACACGAGGAGATCGGTTGTATGGACGAGATGATCGCAACGATCAGAGGTAGGGACACTTGTGACTGATCATTGTCGCGAGCTCACGCACTTATGTTATATCGTTATGTTATATACGACGACACCAACACAGTTACCATCGATTCATGCATACGAGTTGTCGATAATTGCAGTCAGGTTCGTCATTTGAATCTTCGTTAAGTGACTCGCGTCGTAGATTGATTTCTTTTAAATTAATGTGCAGAAAACCCGACTGAAACATTGTCGCGCGTTCGTTCGAAGACGTGATAACATGAAACTCGTGAGCTCACGTAACGCGACAACAGTGTGTTTCTATCCGAAACCTCGTTCTTAGGTTGAATACTGCGAGCCGCGAGATCGACTCCGGACGCTTGCGGTGCCATGGGAAATTAAGGCGTAAATTAAGGCGAGCCAAACCGTGGCGAGCTCGTTACGTATTTTAGCATAAGTACCGACACCCCCGCGTGCCTCTCCGCGTGTCCAACGAGTCGACAGCGAGAGATCTTTTGGGGCAATTTCAACAACGGCAATGAACTTCACCGCGTGCGCGCACCCCCCCCCCCTCCACTCTTTGCGTCTAACTACGTACGGCCGTTTCCTCCGGGAATCTCTGTTTCCACTGCGAATCTTCACTGAAAATATTCCGACGAAAAGTGACCCCTAATCCGACGGATGGCTCTCCAGCGATGCGAGACGATAATCGTGATTTTAATTGAGATATTAATCAACTCTATGATGGCATCTAATGATTTTTTTATACAAGAAATGAGACGCGAGAAGAGCCGATTTGTAGAAGAACACCGACAATGTTTAACTTGACAGGTAACGCTTAATCTTCGATTTTAAGTTATTGTTATGTCTTGAGAAATTTATAAGAGATATATTTTTCTGCCCAACAATACCACCGACAATATCTGATAAACAAATGAGCAATTAAGTCGAATCCTTCGAACTGTTTCAGCAAGCAGTTCATTTTGACATTAAATATCAATAAAAGAGACATCTCGTATACTTAATATCTTTAAACATATCTGAATATTAGCGAGAAAAATTTTGAACGTCAACACATAGCGATAATATACCACATAATAAAATCGCAAAATATTTAAGTGTTTATCACAAACGGTGGCAATTTAAAACTACCGATATGACAAACGACATACTAAACGCCATTATAGTATTTCCTCACCTTTGAAACCATTATATCGAACCGGCTTAATTTAACCAGTGTGGCACGCGCGCTCCTAAAATTTATTTATTGCTGAGTTGAGATTTAACATTGTCACGCCGTTTTGACAGCGGTTAGCTCGCGGGCACGACTGCAGCAAGTAAATAAAATGCAATAGTGATTATTCTAGAGGTAAATATACGCGATTATGGTACAATAATGTCGATAAGTATATTATTAAGCGATGCTAAGCCGACATTGCGGCTGACATGCCAAGATAAACGGTGAGAGGCTTGGCTATGTCGAAAGCTCTCGGAGCAATAAAAGGCGGCCCGATATTATCGATGTACTTGTTCCTCCATCGTACAAGTTTATGGCTCTCGCGTCGAGCACGAGATAAGTACATTCGCGAAGAATCGATCGATTTTCCCCCCGATGCTATTCAAGTGCACAAAACCGATGAGATGGATTTATCTCTGCGCTTGAGCCTTCACGAGACAATTTTCGATTTCTGCTTTGTCAGAACTTAATTTAATTAGGAATAATGTCACTACCGAAAATTTCACTCGACGAAAATTTAATTATACTTCCCCGGACGGCGCGGTGAAGCCTATATTCACAAGTTTTCGTATATAAATAAATAACAACGCGTTGTCGAAGCTGTGCAATATTTAATCCAATTCATTCGCTACGCGCGACTTTAACGCCACGTGAAAAAGTCGTTAATGGAGACTTTTTTCTGCATATTATTTTTATCGCGAAAGCGTCAACTAGTATCTGTAAACGTCGTAAATAAGCAGAGCCGCGAAATACTCGGGCTCACGTCGCGCATTTCTCAGCCGCGCCCGAAAACCCGGCTCGGGGGAATTCATGGCAGATGAGGGCAAAAACTACAGACGAACTTCCGCGGCTTCGAGAGTGGATTAGCGCGTTCCTTTCAAAAAATATATTTCGCGTTTCCCTGCGTAACGCTCGATAAACCTTTCCCGAGTAAATCCATCTCGCCGGGTTTCTCCCTCGGCGCCATGTAAATATATCATTCGTGTTTTGCTGTACGGTGCCACGTCTCTGCAAATGAATTTCCTGGAGCGCTTCCTTCCTCCGTCCGGAGACAGACACAGAAACGGCAAACGCGCGGCGGTGGGAGGGGAAAGGACAGAGAGGAAACGAAGGGGGTGGAAGAGGGATGAAAGAGGAGAGCAGAGAGGACGGAGAAGTGGAGGACTACGCGAGAGACGAGACGAGGGAGGAAGTGGAAAAGAAAACAAGCACCAGGCAGAGAACAGAGAGACAATGGTGGCACTGTACCGCGGGATCGAAACCGAGTATGTCCTTTAGAGACATTAAATGTAACAGGGAAATAATATCGCGACCCTGCGAGGCAAGTGTATGTCTTTGGTGACAGCCAACGTAGATAACGTAATCATTACTTACGCGAGCCCGCCCGGTCTACGCTTTGCATCGTGTCACGCGTTAAGACGTCTTTCAATCTTTATAATCCCAACGGGTTATCTATATGTGAATATCGCAACATTAGTGCGATAAATGATACAAATGTATGTTTATGGATTCTTTTGCTCGCGTCGCTTGAAAAAATAATCTTATCAAGAAGAAAAAGTTTAGCGATGTTGACGGAGGTTGAGATGATGAGTCTGCTAATAAAGATGCGTTAAATAACAATAACAGGTTTATTCGAATGTAGAGAGATTGCATATGTGGCCGTGTGTAGGCTACTAGTCTTGCTGTCGGCCTTGTAAATTGCGTGTTGGAATGGAACTCAGCATTTAAGTGGTCGGCGTTACGTGGTGGTGCTCTACCTTCTGAGAGCGCGCCGGGAACTCGGCGTCGACGATGGGGTGCTGGAACTTGATGGCGCGCTGAAGCTCGATGTTGAAGAAGGGGAGCTAGGCGTTGCGAAGATGACCCGAAAGCTCGGCGTTTGCCGAGAATAAGCCGGGAGTTAGGCGAGGTTTGGTCCAGAATGTCGTCCGAGGTTCGTCGCCTTGGTGAAAACCGCCACACGGAGGGTCGTTTAACAGCGAGAGTATGCCCCGTTGAAAAGGGCTCCTCGGACGAGGACTAAGTAACCCTGACTGCTCTCCCGAGCTTCCCGCGGCGCCTCCTTGTATATGCGCGTTTTTGCTCGCGAGTTGTATGTGTCGCCTAGTAGCGCCGCGAACTTTTAGCGATTTAAGTGTGGGGCGCCACCACAAAACCCGTCTTTCTAGATGCGCAACATTAATATTAATGTAAGTAAGCACTGTTAATAATGAACGCAATGTCTCATTAATTTGCAATACGAGCAACACGTAGACAAAAATAATCTATCGATCCTTGGGATTATGAGGAATTAAAGACACGGAAATAGTGTCTGTAAATATCGCGAGTTTGCGATATAACAGAGGGACCGATATTTTGTCACCGCGAATTTAAAACGAAATGCGACTTTCAAGTGTTTGCTGATATCGAATTTCGATAGTATATTGTTCTGCTGGAAATTTGAAATGCGGTCGCTCTTCTTGTTAAATGCCTGACCAGGTTGCGAATAACGATTACGGAATCGGTAATTTAATTTGTGTGAATGACGTTTGGTATTAAATAATAAATGTATAGATATAATTAATTTTTGCGTGCTTGTTTAAATAAACAGAGAAATTGTGAAGTTTTCAGCTTGAATGACTCCGCGCGCAGATAAAAGGCGCGTCGAGTGTTTATTCAATGCGTATCTTAATATATATCGAGCGAGCCCGCATAGTTCGGCACGTTCTCATGCATGAATATCGAATCATGCATATTTTTCCTTATTTTAACATGAACTAGCACGAATGGCACGTTGTACAAAAAGAAACAGTCTTTGTACGATTGATAAAATTCACATTTCGCGAAATTCCATATTCTGTTCTGTTTACGACTGTTATTCATGGTGAATCGCAGTGACCGATATAATTCCATGGCTTAAAAGTATGTCCATCGACACGTACTTCTTTTAGATCTCCCGTCGTTAGAACATTTAATATTACCATTGTATATTGAAAATATGTACGAGTTACGATAGGGAAACTCTGTTACAGAATTGCGAGGAAGCCTTGAATTTAATAGGATATATTATATATATATATAAGGTAATGAGAAGTTTAATATTTTAAACCCCAGGATATTTCATTCCCTCTTCTCTTTTTGTTTGGCACAACGCAACGTTCGTCATTTTAACTTCAAACAATTTCAAACATTTCGAATTTATTATTCCTATAAACACACAGGTACATATTAACTTTCTCCCAAATTTGATATTAAATTTTTAAAACTTCAAATTTTTTAACAGCATATATCGAAGATTATATATAAAACTCTAGCATTTCTTTTTTTAATAACAAGGGTGAAAGGAAAATTATTTTAGTTAACTGACTTGATATTCAAGTTTTATACTCTCAATATGCCATTACTCGTTCTAGGATTCGGTCGATACGTTAAGACAAAGCCGACGTATTCTATGACGGATTTTGTTTTACGGTACTATAATATTTATCGGTTCGCGTTATAACAGTCGCCACCGGTTAACGCGCGTTTCCGATAACGCGATAACGAGTTTAACGTTACGTGACGTTGCCTCGCCGCGAATCAATTGCAATTCGCGAGCGCAGTGGCAATTTCGATCGCTGCTGCCGCTGGCTGCACTCTCTTCGCTTGTCAATCAATCGCACGGAATTGCGGCCGGTGTGGCCGCATACTGTGTGTCGGTCTGTACGCACTACGCCGTTCGTATTATTTCGCTCCAAAGTCCGGCGATTACTTTAATTAAGTATGATATTGCGCCGGAAAAATGAAAATAATGTACCGGCCGCACCGATAAAACCCTGACATGTGACAGGGCCGTATCACCACGTAACATCGTGTGACCTTTTCGCTCGACAGCTGTATCACGCTCGATCCCGAAGTGTCGACTTTAAATCTCTCAGGCTTATTCACGGATAATAATGCTGGAGGAAGACAATCGAGAAGTGCAAATGAAACATGTTAGCCAAACACGGCATAATGAGTTAGAAGAAAAAGCATAATAATTTTATATTTGCAGAGGGATATCGTGATTTGTTCAGAATTTTTTTCAGAATTACTGTTAATTTGAAGCATTTAAATATTTGAAAAAACATTTATAATTTAGATATTCAGCAAAAGTGAGCAAAAGAATTCATAAACATACATTTGTATCATTTATCGCACTAACGTTGCGATATTCACGTGTTGATAATCCGTTGGGGGATTATATGGGGGATAAAGATGTAAAGACGTCTTTCTTTAATGCGTGCTATAATTTCGACATATAGAACTTGAACTTTTGATAAAAAAATTTAATTTCATATATATAGTTGATGAAAGTAGAATTTTTAGTTGAGAATTGCAAAATCTTGGTGAATTAAACTTCATGAGGCTACAAAGAAGTAATATATAGAAGCTAATTTCTCTCGGTTAATTCTCAGTGAACTTTATTCAAACAGGATTTTTACGTAAGGCTCAATTAACAGATATCAAAATTAGAACATTGTGAAAGTATAAATAGCACGCGCATCTAATCAAATAAAAATATTCAACATGATGTTTTCAACGTTGCGCTATTCACGTGATGAAATGAGTAAACATTATAGTATCGTAATAATAATACAAGTGAATATTGAATTTGTTCAAAACTCCGTATTTAAATATTCCGAAAATTATATTGTTACGAAATGAATTCGAAGTAAATTCTAATTAAAATCAGGATTAATATAAATCCCAAAATTATCATTAACTGCAAACTAATATATCATATTTGATGCGAAGGCATCAATATTTCTCTTGCTTGATTTATGGACGAAAGAAATAATTGAAAGGAGCTTTAAAACAAAGAGGAATGAAAACGACGAGATAATGGCTACGCCATTTTGTCGACGATGTGTTTGTACATAAAACTTTCCCTTCAAGCTGGGTGTACACTGAACAAACGAATAAGGAACGTACAGCGAATGCAAACTTTCGTTGTTACAATTTGGAAAATGTGTACGCCATAACGCATTCGAACAAAACATTGTTTCGTGCCAATTTCCTCATAAGATGGTTCATCAAAGAAAATTTGTGCGCAAAAATTTAGACACGAATATTCATATTACACTCTTGCTGTTCGTTCGCTTAGTGTATACCCTACTTTACGTTTGTCTCCTGCTAGGTTATTACTCCGCCAGATTACGTGTTTCGCATTAATAATACTACTTCGATGAATGATATTCGTTCAATTACCTTCTGATACAGAAGATCTTCCCTTCTTTCGTCTCATCGTCGACTTCGACGCCAATTCGCACCGATTCGATTACTTCCACACGCAAGTCGATGAATTTTCCGGTAGACGACCGTTTGAAACTGTTTCGAGCGCGATACTACGTGAGTCAAATAAGCTTCGCGTAGTGGAAGGACAGGAGTGCCATCTGACGGATGAGATCACATGTACGGCAACCTAACTGTCAAAGATGCGCGTTGTGTCACATGATATGTCGGTGTTTGTGCTTTTCTTACACAATTGATCTTTTTGCCGGATTCCAAGGTTTTGTAATATTTGAATAGATATTTAAATGGAAACATGACGAAGATCTTACGCGTGAGCAAGTGTTTTCGGCAACAAGAATTAACATAACGATCACGTTACTTACGTAAATATCAGTATAATTTTCACAATAATGTTATGCACTGACTATGATTTAATATAACATAAATATAACCTCAAACATGTTGTCGGAGGTTGATGTATTCATCAGTAACTACACACTGGTAGATCCTGAAATTTATCAGCTTTGGGTCGATGGTCACTCCTGTAAGTCAGAGGAATGTAACACAAACCATGTCTATTTATCTATGTGTTAAAATTGGAATCTACTGATCCAACATGACATATATGTACTTTTTTGTTAGCCAATGATGCAGTCAGCATTTTACATCAGCGAGGGATATGTCAGCAAACCGATGCACCACTTGAATTAGTCGCATCTGACATACTGGATCATTATCGCACCTATGCTCTATTAGAGAAGCTATTGCACACACCTACAAAGCTTGTCAGTGAGCAACTGGCGTTTCAGATTGAACCACAAACTAGTCAAATGCTCATCGAGATGTAAGGAAGGCTATCGATTAAAACTATATAATTCTTTATCATATTAAGAAATAATCACTTATTTCAGGTATTATGAATTTGATGACGTTGTAATACGTGAATTATTGGGAAAAAAGATAACTTCTAAGAGTAGAAAGGATATGGACGAGGTGGCAGAGAAGACAGGAGTTACATTAAAAAGTTGTCGAAGACAATATGACAATGTAAAGCGAGTGTTCAAAGTTGTTGAGGACTTGCCAGGATCTTTGGCAGCTAATATCAAGCAACACTTCTTACTCTCTGATGACCTTGCTAAGTATGCCTTGTGTATGGCTGATTATAAAAATTGTAGCAACTGGCTCAGTTTAACTGTATAATTGAATCACAATAAGAATCATGCAATTTATGACATAGTTGCTTCTAATGATTACAGACGATACGCAGTGGTAGTATTCATAGCTTGTTTACGATTTGAAATGAATAAAAGAAAACTGCAGTTTTTGACATTTCCCGACCTATATCACTGCGCTAATAGTATGATGACATCGTGGACATATCGTTGCGTCGGATCGGACTATTTCGATACCGATTTGGACAGGGAATTTCTACAGGAATTATCAGAATGCAGAGTGCTCTTGGAAAATGACAAACATCACAAACAGTATTTTGAATCTCACGAAAATAAATCGACTCATTCGTTATAAAAATCATAAAATCAATACAGCAATGTTTCAGTTTGGTATGTATTAAACTCAAACCAATGCTCCTCGAGCGATCCTATCAAGAATTAGACATGAACTTCCGCTCGTATTCAAGAGCGATACTAGGAATTGGATGCAACCTGCATAGATCGCGAGAATTGAGATTTTTCTTTCTGGAACTAGTGGAGAGATGCATAGAGCCTTGGCGACAAGTCAATTGGACGCATTCTGATCTCCGGAATTTTTTAGCCGTTTATACACAGTGTGCCCTTGACATGGATGTACTCAGGTACGATACACTTAATGCAGTAACGCGTTTCTTAATTCAATATATCGCGCAATTTGTGTCAGAAAAGATTATTATTCGTATAAATCTTGATTGCAGAGAGGGAGAACTGAGAGACGCGTTTGAACGTTATATGATGGTAGTGACATGCTGCCTTTTGCGTATGTATCATACTTGATTACTAATATACGTGTGTGTATGTAGAACATTATATTTATATATTCAGGAGTAAATAAAACAAACTATACGTGACAATTTATTAAATTTCTGTAATAAATAAACAAAAGCAGCACGCACGTGCTGTCTATAATTCTGCAATTATATGTGCGATGGCGCGTGAATCGATTGCGAAAACTGTACTACCCGCATATCCTTGTAAGTTTACCGACATTTTAAACAGCGCGCGGCGTGAAACTCCACAAAGAGAAAGGCAGTTCTTATTAAGACGGCAGTAGACTAGCACATTCGTTCGTTTTTCACACACATTAAACGGAAATCGATTTACTTGTAAATCGAAGACAAGTTAGAACTTTCCGTCTCTATAATTATACATATTCTCTTATTAGCATGCTTCAATTAGCATACTCTGATAAGTACTAAAATAAGTATGTACAATTGTAATTGATACAATGTTTTAACTACTTAATGGTAAAATGTACATTAATCAATATACCTTATCATACACATTGCATGTTAATTCTAAAGTGCAATTCTACAAACCTCTCTACATATATTGTCACAAATGTACGTTCAGGCTCTCTCCGTGTAAAACGTACTTCTTTGTAAAAGTTTCACGCATAAAACTTACAAGGAAATATTTCCTGGACATATTGTATTCAGCGACAGAGCATCATCTTCGCAATATGAAGACTTCACACTTACTTGATCGTTTCTCTGCAGCGAATTCTATTATCCATTATCTATCAATGATTGGAGACGAGGTAGTGTTCTATCAGGTAGAGGCATGGATCCGGGAGATGGGAAAACTGCAATGTGCGCTTTGAAAAACCGTAGAAATATATTGATTTCGCCTAAGTACTTGCAAGACTATCGACTACTGCGTCACTCCTAAAACATTGTTAACAGCGCTCACTATGTCCCTTATCTGCGGTAAGGCCGCGGCCTCCAGCGATTTTGCATACGGCATAGGCGTGTCAACACCAGTAATACGGATTACAGGCGCGTCGAGATGATAAAAGGCTTCACCTGCAAGAAAACATCTCTGTTAAGAAAACACACGTTATCATTAGGAACAGATGAAATGAGACCAAAGAAATTCACTTTTCTGAAGTCGAACGAAATTATCTATAACATATCAATCTTTTACATAGCATTTAACTGTGTAATTTGAAATGTCCAATTTAACAGACATTTATCATTCGATAATCTTTCCTATCAGACATTTGAAGCCAATAGTTTACCGATCGATATATCCATAAACTATCCCATGTCATCGTTATATAACTGATGAATTAAGTAGCGAGACAACGGTTAAGCAAAACTTACTCTCGACGATTCTCGCGCTGACCTCCGCGCCGATACCGCATTGCGGCCAGCCCTGCTCCACTGTTAACAAATGTTTCGTCTTAATCACGGACTGTACAATGGCATCTATGTCCAGCGGTCTCAAAGAACGAAGATTTATCACTTCGGCTTCGATTCCCTTGCCGGCAAGCTCGTTGGCCGCTTCGAGGCACTCCTCAACCGTTTTGGAATGCGCCACCAACGTGACGTGGTTGCCCGCTCGTTCTATCTTGGCCTTGCCGATCGGCAGGACGAAATCCTTGGACAGAGCTTCGTCGGACATAGGATACTGCACGCCGTACAATATCTCGTTTTCGAGTACCACTACTGGATCGGGATCTCGAATGGCCGCCTTCAGCAAACCCTTGGCATCTTCGCTGTTGTAGGGCGACACTACTTTCAAACCAGGACAGTGACTATACCAGGCGCCGAAACACTGAGAATGCTGTGCCCCGACGCCCGCGGCAGCACCATTGGGACCACGGAATACCACCGGCACGTTGATTCTACCCGCAGACATGTAAAACGTCTTGGCAGCAGAATTGATAATATGGTCGATTGCTTGCATCGCGAAATTGAACGTCATGAATTCACAGACTGGTCTTAGGCCGGCCTGTAACATGTTTATGAAACAAACATCATAAGAACGAATGATGACTCTATGATTGCTTTAAGCTCACCATAGCAGCCCCAACAGCAATGCCGGTGAAACCAGCCTCTGTAATTGGTGTGTCGATAACTCGTTTGTCTCCGTACTTCTTCCACAAGCCTCGAGAAACCTTATAAGCACCATCGTACATCGCTACCTCTTCACCAAGAAGAAAAACCCTCTCATCCCTTTCCATTTCCTCATCTAGGGCCGAATTCAAAGCATCTCGCACCGTCATCTAATATTTAGACAAATTTCCATAAGAGAACGTCATGCAGAAAGTGGATGACCTTTTATGTCCTTCAAGTTTCTACTTTGGTAAACTATCACAAATACAGGAAGTATCAGATTGAAATGAATGAAGGAGAAGCAAGAGAAGATCAACAATCTACATGTAAACATTCAGGAGCATTGTAACAATCACGAGAATAGAGCCGCAAATTTCAAAGTAGCAGACAAAAATCTAGGTTAAGTTGACAGTCAAGTAAATCACCTGCTGTGCTGCTGTCCATTTCGACGTGGAAAACGAGCGGCGAGCAACGGTTCTTATGACAGACTGCAAACAAAAAAGCATCATTAAAGCACATTGTTTCATTTAGATATCTGATACGCTTTACATTCTTTTATTTCACATAAATAGCAACATTGTTCTACTCCACTTTTGCAGCCACCTGCTGCTTCGCAACATTTATTTATGGCAAAACAATCGATGCCTGCAAAGTTTAGAACAAACGATCACAACACATAATTTGTCGTGCAACTTCATATTGTTTCACAGAATTTTACCGTGAGCATGATAGGCCGTTGAGTAGTAGCGAGTCGAGTATGAATACAACGGTTTTTTGTTCGTTCGATCGATGATTTCACTTGGAAGACAACCCAGCTGGAATTCTCGTCCTGTCGCGACTAAAACGCGAATTGTATCGGCGGAGCCTGAGACTGTTATGAAACGCCGTCGAACTGAAACAGCGGCGCGTCGAAACTGTTGCCGCGAGCCGTACGGTGCGAGTAACGCCAACATAAAAAGATAACGTGACCACGCTACTGTTCCCGCGTGACATTTACGTAAAATGCACTTCTACTTATATCCCACCAATCATGCATGGATCTACAGTGCAATATAATTACGAAAAGTAAATGAAGCAAAAATATAAAATATCGGAATATCTTGATGAAAATTAACGACAACATTAATATAGTTAATGTGGTTAAAAACTAGAGACTTCAAGTTTTAAAATACTTTTCGAATGATCTCGATAGCATCATTATTGTAAAAGTTACAGAAATTACAGGAATAACGGGTCTAATAATTCCATAAACCCGTTATTTCTGTAATGGGTATATCATTAATGTAACGGATTTACGGAATTATTAGACCCGTTATTTCTGAAATTTAGTTCCAGAATCTCCGCTACGAGTCGCCACTATACTTAAAGAGAAATTGAGGGCGTGATATGACAAAACGATGGAATCAGGCGTACTTCTCAAGTAGTATGACTCAAGGGCTGGTTAGACGTACTTTTTATTGTAATAAAACATAGATGAAATTCAACAGGCTGTAACTTTCGCGCAATAATGATGCTATCGAGTGCAACCGGAGGGTCAGCCGCGGAGGGAGGAGCGGCGGAACATAAGAAGAGAAAGGCCACCGAAAGAAAGAGAACAAGATTAAGAAATCGAAGAAGCCCATTTACAGAAAAACTCATTTTTATTTAACGCGAATGCGATGATGATTGGCGGGGGCCGTCGGCGAATCGGGAAGCGTCGCGGAGGGGGAAGAACGTTTGAAATCGGAAGAAGGAAAGGCGCGCAGTAGCGTGGAGACGCGGGAAGCGAGAGGACGGACATTGGGAAGAAAAAAAAGCAGATAACATGTCATCAACATGTCATCAACAAGTCATCAACTACGCAGACGAGGGGACATTGGAGAGGTTGCTGACGGAGGAGAAAGCTGGCGGAGACGTCCTGGTGCAAATCTCCTGGTGGAGGCCCAGGGAGACGACCGATCGCCTGGCGACGGTAAGTGCGCTGTAAAATTGCCACTGTTCCCCCTCGTAACTTTCCGTAAAAACAGAGACTTCCTGTCTGAGAACCGAGGCATCCGGTGGGAAGCTCGAACGCGGCACCGGTGGTCGTAAAACTAAGTTAAAAAAGAGAAAGAATCCCGTCGTCGGCGGGATCAAAGGGCTACCCGGTACGGTAAGCGACGCATGTTGCGTCATCCCGCCATGCGCGCCCGATCGTGTCCCGACGTGTTCGCGACGACAGTCTTGCGTCGGGATAGACATATAAAAGTTAAGACATCCCCGAACTACGACGCGTGGGGATAATTGTTTTATTTATTCGATGTAGCGGTCCGTGGAACAATTATATCTTACATAGATGTATATTTTTAATGGCTTAGACCACGTGATTTCGGAAAATTAGTTATATAAGATTCGTTCATTAAGTTCATTTTACTTTATAGGATTTATAGATCAGTATTTTTTGTTATTGCTTTATTTTTTCAAAATAGACTTTATCTTAGTTACTCTCACGAGGTACGTGTTCATTATTTCGCGTTTTCCTATCCCCATACCCGGTGTCTGAGGCGAGCGTCCGGTGATCCGAACATCTCTTCGGGGACGACAACTCTATCAGGGAGTCCCTCTATACAACTCTATCAGGGAATCCCTCTATACAACCCTTAACAGTAAAAGCGTATCTGGGGAGACTTGGCCGGTCCAGCTTCCCGGGCCTGGAGTTTGGGCGAAGCTCTCAAAAATAACGCCCTGGCGACCGTGGACGGACAGCGGGATCTGTGGGGAACTTTCCTTCTCAAGGTTCGGCGGGATTAAACGTTGATGTTTTCACTAAGCTAGTGACATCCGGTCACACGAGATCGTTCAAAAAGCATTTTAAAGCTTGAGGTCTCTAGTTTTTACCACATATAGTTTTAACCACATTAGCTATATTGATGTTGTCGTTAATTTTCGTCAAGATATTTCGAGTTAAACGAAAAATGGCGCCCTCTTAGTTTCAAACCTCGTCTTTCAGTTGAGTTTTCAGAACGAAAAAACCAAATTTCCTTCCGTGTAACAATTAATTTAATATACCGTTGCTTACACTAAAATAAAAATAATTTGAAATAAAATTAGTATGTGTATTAAATAATTGGTAAGCCAGACTATATTCAGAGGGTTGATTTTGTGTCTAAAACGTAATGAGAATTACAAAAGTGAACAAATTCAGGTGTTATTTCATTCATTAAGTTCATTAGGTGTTAACCAATGATATAAATTATTATGAATAATTATAAATAAGGATGACAGCCGCGAATCGAAGTAATAACTCGCATTGAGATCGAGATTTTGATATAGCAAATCTACATCACGGAAAAGCCGCAATAATTAGACATGCCTTCGTTTAGAGGGAAATACGATAAAGAAACGCGTACATCTTTTTTTTTTACTCGATTTTTATTAGCTGTACATTTTTGTATACGCAGTTAAAATTTCACTCTTGAAGGACCAACTGGTGGTTGTGAGTCTTGTATAAGGGCAGGAGATACATAAAAATGCTTTAGAGTGTTTAAAGGGGGATCACGATTGAACTATATTTGTTCGTTATAGAAAAATAAAATGATAATAATAAAAAAACCTCCGCTATTGATCATTAAAGATATAAAATAAATCGTCTTTAAGACATATTAAAGATTACATTTTGCAACACCTTAAAGACATTACAAAAAAACGTCTTTAAGACATCTATGAGACATGCGTTTATATATAGAAGATGTTTGGAGAATATATTAATTCTTATTCTACACAGTTTTTAGCTCGAAATAGTAACTTGGTCGAATTTAACATAGGCTACTTTTGCGACAGCGAGATGTTGGATGCTGAATGACGCATGCAATGAAATCTACCGAGAAGCGCGACGATCAAACGAAGATCGGACGAGAGCACATCATCACGCACGTGTACGAAGGTATGCACGCTACATGTATCACATTTTATAACGTATACTTTATTAATTGCAATTATACATGTATGCGTTTGCATTCATTGCCCCACATGCAAATTTACTTACACATTGCTCCACAAAAAGGAAAATAAAAAGACGTTCCGACGTTCACATAGCCTCTCTCAGCACGCGGCGTATATGTATATATATATTTTTTTCTCATTTATTTATATGTTATGCGTGAGGGTTCATAAGAAATACTTAATCGCTATGAGACATTCATAGTCTACGACGTTGTCATGATCGTGGTCGATGTTGCATTTAAGCACTGATCGATCGATTGTTTGTTTTTCTTTTCTTTTTTTTCTTCTTCATTTTATTCTTTTCATGCGATGTGTAATACTAATCTAGATCACAGTCGTTTCCACTTTGCAGTCGAGTAAAGAGATGCGATTGATGCTTCGATGAGTGAGGGTGGATGAGAGAAAGAGAAAGGAAGAGAGATGATTAGAACAAGAGGAGAAGAAAAAAAGAGAGAGCAAATAGAGAGAGAGAGGGGGGGAGGGGGGAAAGAGAGAGAAAAAAGGAGAATATGTGTATTTATGTGTGTATATGTGTGAGTGTGACAGGCGGTGGGTATTATTTATTATCACGATTAAGCAAGCGATTTTCTTTTTTCCCTTTTTCCTCTTTTCCGCGCGCTTCGGAAATGATAAAATTTGATACGAATTCAAAACGTGTTGATCATTTACAACGAAAATCGAACGTGTAACCCTTTCTTTTTTCCTTTCTCTTCTCTACGTGAAAGGATAGAATTAAATGGATTCGATTTTCGTACTCGGAAATAAAAGAGAAAAGATGGAAGAAAATCTTTTACTTTCCATACTTTTCCCTTTGTTTCGATAATCCAAACAGGAATTACATCAATTTCAATTCCATCTTACAAATTTTTCAATCTTGTTTTCTCTTACAATGATGATGCTACAATGAAGATGCATGTTACGTGCATGGTAAACTGTCGTTATTTACATGCGTACATTCATACCGCGTTTATTTTTCGCTTTGGACTTTATCGTGTTGGCGATAAACGATGAGTTTTTGTTCTCTATCCTTTTCGTTTTATTATGAAAAATATATAACGCATGATTGGATGATACTGAGAATGCCGATCATTCAAGCCGATTTCTGAGAAGGAAATAAAGAATATCGGGATATATCTTTTATTTTTTGTATCTTGTTCTGCTTTTTTGTCGGGCTTTTTATTAAAGAGAGAGAACAACAGTTGAGTAGGAGTTAAATCGACTAGAACATTGGCTAGAGTAAAAAGACCATCTCTTCAGATTAAACGCAAAACGGAGAAAGGTAAGCGGAAAAGGAAAGAAGAGTAGAGATAAATAGTGCAGATAAAAGAAAGATTAGGGAAGAAGGTACAAAGACGAAGAGCGAGAGGGAAAATAGACAAACAGACGGGCAGGTAGAGAGAGCTGGCGACAGAAGTGTTCGTATCGAAGTTCGATAGGTAGAAAATTACTATTGTCGGAGCAACAAAACGGAGACAGGTCGGTAGAACGATAGACAGATCAATAGATAGACAGACAGATAAGGGTAGTTAGACAGATAGAAAGAGTGAGAGTAAGAAGAGAGAAAGAGAGATCGTTTTATAACTGTCCTAATCTAATTAATCGTATAGAGAGTATAGGAGAATTACCAATAGTAAGAATAATCACGATAATCATAATAATTCTATCGTCGTTAGCATCGATAAGTACAGCATAATAATTTAGCTTTACTTTTGCGTTTTCTGGGTTTTTTTTTCTTATTTCTTCCTTTTTTCTTTTTCCTTCCCCTTTCGCATTCTTTGAACTTAAATGAATTCGCTCGTTTCGTTCGCGTTTGGCTTTCCCTCGTATATAGAATCTCATCGCAGTCGCGAAGGAAATTATCGTATGGTATGTGTAAGGCCGCTGTCACTTAGTCTCGATATCGATATATATATTGTGATAATATATAAGTGAATAAATCATAAAATTAGTTTATACGCTTCGCTGGACATCAGTGGCTGATATCAGTGACGAAACGTTCAAGCAGCTGCGATAACGCGCTCATCAGGGTTCTGAATTTTCTTCGCTTCTTTTTTTTTTTTTTTTTTTTTTTTTTTTCCCCCCCGNCAAAAAAGTTGTCTCAAAACTACTGTTTCTCTTCATATATAGATTCTATAGAAAATTTGAATTAATAGATTTTGTGAGGACTTGTCATACATTTGTTCACCTTTAATTAAAATTTCGATAAAACAAATAACTTGGTTAAAATCAAGCAAGAAACGAAATTTCGTTATGTACTCTTTCTTTCAATCTTTACAATTTTTTGTGCAATTGATAGCATAACTTGTCATTAAAATAACTGACTCTATTTGTAGTTTATCCTTTTCTCCGCATTTATATATAATTGAATAGATAATTACGATAATTTTTAGACGTCTGGTTTAATATAGACGACTATCGGAGGAAGTGATACAATCTAAAAATCTGTAAACGAAGAAAGATTCCAAAGCATGATGAAGGCATTTCTGTCAGACGCTGTTATTGCATTCCGTGCAATATTCCCTCAAAACTTGGTAAAAAGGAAAAGAAAAACTTCACGTAAAGGAAAGATCGAGCCTAAATACGTAGTTAATCGCGCGCTGTTTACACGCTTAAGTCAACCGCAACTTTTCGAAAGTAATGTGGCATATTTAGTACTGCGTTTCGCTGAGTTTAACGAGAGAACAGCTTTTCCGTCCCTGAAGAATCCGTAGAATATGTAACAATATATCGAAGTTAAAAGAATTTCTATACGAAGTGTGTTACGATTATTTCAATTGTTAACGAACTAACATGCACTTTTGTCGATTTCCGGCGAGAAAGAGACAGAGAAACGGGAAAGAGAAAGAGACATAGAGAAGAAGAGAGTGTGAGAGAGAAAGAGAGAGAGATATTGAGAGGGAGAAATAGAGAAAAAGGGAGCTCGCCTTTCATCGCCCTACTCTGTAAACGTGCGAACGATGCATCGAAAAATATTCTGTCAAGTTCGGAAGTCGACGATGAAGAGTATAATATTTCGTCTCTAAGAAATTTTCTTCTTCATTTTTCATTTCGTTTTTTGCCACACACACACGCGCGTCGTTGCAGGCTGCCGAGCCGTGCGAATCTCTCTATGCAATCTCTTGCTTTAGCAACTTGAGCGCACGACAGAACAATTTCTCTTAATCCGTGAGTTTCGCTTCGTTTTCGCGAGTTCTTTTTTGTGTTATATAAAAAATTGACTCTTTCCCGTTTCGCCACCGCTAAAGTATGTACAAACGAATGGTAAATCCACTTGTCTCGCGTTCTCGTCACTGCGATTACATACGAATGTCTTCTTTTTCCTCCCTTTTTTAAAGTTTAATTTTACTGCCTTACTCGCGTCGAAGTAGGGTGAAAAATGTGTCCGCCGCCAATTAAGCAGTGAGTAAGAAAATTGGTATAAAATAGACTACTTGACGTGATTTGCAGACGTCGTAATTCACTTGTATTATTGTTTCAGACAATCAGAGTAGAATTCGACAAGTTTAGGATTTATTCAATCCTTCTTAGATGCACACACATAGAATGAACCATATAGATCTTTAAAGTTGAAACCTACGAAAAAATTTATAAATTTAAATTTATATATATGCAGTATAATTGAGTTAAAATTAATATTGTGGATTTTACAAACTCAATTACGTTATCTTCTCGGTCAATTTCGATCGATCTCTCTGAAATCATTTGACATAGGCAACGAAATATTTCTTCGAATTTGAGGTAGACAGAGAGAGCTCAAGAAGAGCTCGAGAGTTACGAAGGCGATTATTAGAATTCGTCTTACGCATCTTCCGAAAAGGAGAAACGCGTAAATAAATTCACAGAGAAGATGGCGTAAGCTATTTATTTTTCTAGGGACGCGCATTTTTCATCCTGCTTCATTGTTATACTTTCGCATTAGATGCACTTTCAAGAGTTTATCAAGCTAAATAAATATCCATTAATATACGAACGTTATATCGTGAAGTTTTGAAAATATATATGCGCCTCGTGTGATCCAGTGACAAGGCTCTCTTGCAATGTAAACCTACATAACACCTGTCTTTTATAGGACGTTATAGTATCGACGACGACGACAACAAATAAAACAGCGAAAACGTCATTTCTTCGATCGCGACTAGAGCGAAATCGAAAGCGTTTGTATTGTTCTCCGTTGGAGACGCTCACTCTCGAGAGTTATCATCGACAGTAAAAATTCACAGTGGACACATTTGAGGATAGCGTTACCAATTTTTTGAACCATCCGAAAATTTCAGGCTATCAAGAATTACTCTCAAGACGAGCGATTCAGCGTCAAGTGAACACGTAGCTTGATGTATACTGAAAAACTTTACTCTCTGAGCAGACAATTAAACGCGAGATATCAGTAACTCTCATCAAAATCCTCAATCAAAGCGATCTTTCTTTATTGACAGAAAAAGTCAAAGTGAACTATTTAACTCTATTCGTTAATAAACAAAGGATCCTTTGATCACTCTCTAATATCTCGGTAGTGGATATTCTCCATTTTACAAAACACGAATATTCCGTGACATTTTTCATTACTGAAGTCTTCCTTCATTAGCTAATAACGTCGAAAGAAACATTTTAACGTTATTTGTTAGTAAACGAAGCATCCTCCGATCACCCTCCTCAGAGCGACTCTCATTAGTAAAGTTCCCGACTGTGCACACCTGCTCGCAAGTTCCCTCCCCATTCGCAAATAATTTCGAAGAGTCACGCTATTACATATCGATAACGAGCACAGATACGTGTAATAACGAGCATGATATATAACGAGCGGATAATAAATAACGTGCTACTACGCTCACTGCTTCTGATGGTTATCGGCGACCATTCAATCGCGGTTAATTAACGTGCGGAAACCTCTCCGTGTGTGTTTAGTAAATAGTACCGTCGGAAGCAACACTACAAAAGTTTATATGCCAGCAACTTATATCGCAGGTACGCTACGATCCGATTTTAATTGTTTAAGCGCTACGCTGATGCTTATTATTTATTGCCGTTCTGAAAACTATCATTGATATATGAATTACACGTTTTAACCGAAACGTTTCGGCCCGAAATGCACAAGCGGCGCGATAAATATTACGTACAGCGCGTTATATATATATGAGTTAATATCAGCTGTGTCAATTCTTTTATACAATGTGTCTCGGATCCGCCGAAGATTGCCTTCTCGATGCAGATTCTCTTTGACGAGTATCGAGTCGATTGCTTCCTCTTTAGAATTTTTTTTCAGAAAAATCATTTGTGTAAGCTATTTTCAATCAGTTAAGCTTCGAGAGCGTGAATGAATGATGCGGCTTTATTTTACGATTAATTTCAAACCATTTTATCGGAAATTCTTATTAAACTGTAAAAGTTAAGAAATAAAATAATTTTCGCGAACGAGCAGGATCGACTGTACGTTCGTCAAAAAGGCTGTCCCTGAAAAAAAACAGAAAACACTCCTCGGCCAGTCTCGACCACCCTGTATATTTGATTTTGTATCACAAAGTGACCTTCTCGTTTCGCGAAGATACGAGAGATGTTCGATTCGACGAATGGTCGTCCAACAGATAACAGCGATCGTATCTAACGGCTGAAAAAGCATTGACTTGTTGGTCGCAAAATTAACTCGGTATAAGCGGCGACAATCGCTTCTTCCCCCTTCCCACCGTTTTTCCAAGATTTTCTTCGCGTGCACTCCATCCTGCACCCAAGTAACGTTGCAACCGACCCGAGAATCTTTTCCGAGTTATTATGCATTTCGTCCTCGCTTTTGTTCTTCAACAACTAAATCCGCAAAACCAACTCGCGGTATACAGACTAAGTAGGAAAAATCGTATGCTGTTGACAATTCAGCTATATCAACGACGTGTCTGGCGTGCAGAGCACGACAAAAATGTACGAATATATCAATAATTACACGTTGCATATATGTACGTTTATATACATATACTTTTTTGTTTGTAATATATGTTAGTTGTCTACGCGTCATACTCCCGTCTGTATCGTGCGTGCCAGCACAATCAGCCTTTCCGAGCTTCATATATTTCTCGACTATGTTCGCTATTACCTGAGATCGAACATAAACACGGTAAACGATTCAATGAAAACTTCACAACGCGTTCCCTCTTCAACGCGTGTCTAATATTACGTTAAATCCGAAAACTATGCCTATAAGTGAACGGAAATATATCAACAGTTACTTTTGCGATATTGTGATTAATTGATAAGTAATTTTGTAATCCCGTACGCGCGCGTAATGTCGCGAGCGGAAGGTCTTGACGAAAATCCACCGATAAAACCGAAATCATTCGCTAGACGATAAAAGCAACTGATCGATTGCATCGTTTTAGTCGTACCACTCGTTATATAGACAAAACTCTAAATCATCGTACTGCTTAAGGTACTGGCTACGCCTTTAGAAGTCTTCCCATCCCCTTATTTAGACGAAGGAACGTACTAGTCGAATGTAAGGTACTGGCAGAGTGCTAGAAATAATAATTAGAACCAACTGGTGGCTCCGCCGAATTTTGTAGAAAGACCGCCGATGCCCTTGCCGAACATGCTACCGACTTTGCCAACAACGTTCGAAGTGACGTTGCTCAAGTTGGCCACGTAGTTTGCGTCATCTCCCGTTATCGTCTCAACGATCGTCACTTTTGTCTTAGGTCTCTCCACCTCGTCGTCATTACCATTCTCCGAAAGCCCTCTGCAACAAAAGTCTTTTCATCGAAACCAAAAACTCACTTTTGAATGGTAAAAATGAGTAAACGCACGAATTTTCATAATTAATTAGCGACGTCGATTGAATGAAGTTATCTTTTTCTCATGTTTCTGATCAGAAGGCGACTTACTCTTCGTTCTGAGCGCTCATGGTTAAGGCACAAGTTGCTTCTTCCGTCTGCATTCTCTTGGATATAGTCTGATATGTCTTCGAGTTGAGTTTCTCCTCCATTACGCCCTGGAGCTCGAAGTCCGAGTAGATCTTCTTCACGATGTGAGCTAGGCAGGTACATTGATACAGGTGCAGGCTATGATCGAGTCTCTCGGACAACCAATTACACAGCATTTGTATCTGCGCCGTGTACCATTGCTAGATACAAAAATCAAATCAATTCGAAACTTTTCTTTGATTTTTCCAAGCTTACAGGTATTGACTTACCTCGAAGAAAGTCAAAATCCACAATTCGTCGAGGACTTTACTGCGAATCTGATCCATGCAATTTCTCGTGAAATTTACATAGGCTTGTCCCATTTCTTTCCCACTTCCCGATACCTTCTAAATGACAATTTATCGATTAAAAACGTGCTATAGTGAATTTGTGACAAAAATCTGTCATCAATGCACGTGTTTTCATAAATAAACTATCATTTATTAGAACAAGGTACCGTAAAACTGAGAATGGAGCCAATGAGGGAACCTTCATCATAACGAGACAACTTCGAAAGTGTCGCTTCTAATACCGCTATAAGCTTGTTAATCATTCCTTGATTCATTTCCGCCGACGTCTTTTCAATCATGTCGTCGATTTTGGCATGATATTGATGCTAAAAGCACGCATATTAATCGACGTATGATAGCAATACAGATTTAATTTGCTGAACGGTTAACTTCACTACGTCAAGTATGTAAGTTGCATTGCAACACTGCCTTCTCAACAAAATCTTAACGTCAAATTTAAATATACAGTTAGTCGATTTTTTATTTCCTATTAATACCACCTCAACGTTAAATTAGACATCTGGTGTATAGCGTTTAATGCGCGTGATAAAAGATTAAAAATAAGAGTTGACGCTTCAATTTTGACTTATCGATTTTTTCAATATTTCTACGCTGAAAATTCTCCCGCGAGTCCAGCTGAAACGAAGATATTATATCGTGGCGATCTTGAAGACCGAGAACTTACCATATCGACACCATCGACAGTACAAAGTTTAAAACTCTGGTTCTTGGCATCCAAAATAACGTTCACCATAGCGCACATCTCCGATGGTATGATGTAATCGGTGGAGGTGAATGTCACGCCCTTCTTCAACCATTGCTGGAAGGCCGTGTCGGTCCTCTGAATGCACGATTCCACCATGTCGCAAGCCATCAATTTCAGTCTCTGTTCGAGGTGTTGCCGGAACTCCTGATCGGGCCAGTGCAGCCCGCCGATGAACGACTGCAACGCGTCCAACTTCCAGAAGAGGTCTTCCGAAGTGGCACAGCCGTTACCCTTGATCTCCCATCGCTCCTTCTCAAAGCCCTTGTGAATCGACTGGCCGATCGACGTTTCCATCAAGTCAACGTAGCGCACGACCAACGGCGCGAACGTGTCGCGCAGATGCTGATGAAACCTTCCGTTCTTCAAATTGTCTACGTGCAAATATGAAATTTTACGATCATCTACAGAATCCTTAAACATCTATTACATCTTTGAAAAAATTATAAGCTTACGAATGAATGAAATATAATATTTTAGTGTATCTTTCTTTTACAATTTTACACGTACAGATACAACAAACTCACCGTCCGTCCTAAGATAATCATTCATTATCTGAAACAGCGGGAAGCTGTCCCACGTGTCTGGTGGTTGCTCGGCCAAGATTTTATCCATGTCTTCGGCAAAGAGTGACCAGAAGATCTCGGCGTGCTCCACCATAAGATCGCTAAACCAGGCGAACGCCTGCGGTACAGTGTAGTAGGAGCGGATCGTGAAAATATTGGACGTCGCACATATACGGTGGGCACTTCCCTTGTAGCTCGGGGTGATGGGGACGTCACCCTGAGCACGGGACCCTCGAGAACCCAGAAGACACTACTTCTACCATGATATGTCGGTGGTGTGAACGATCGCGGAACTCGTGATTGCTATGCGTTTGCTGCATCTAGAGACTCTCTCGGCAAAGGGAAACGTCGAGGGATATCGCAGTTGCGTGTAATGGAGACTGCTCTCGTTTGCGGAAGATGTTGTGAGTGAGAAGTAAATCGTTTTTAAACTAAAAGCAGCAAAGAGAGTTGTATGGAGTGTGGAGGATAGCTATATCAGCGAAGTATTTAACGTTTTTTGCTGAATAAAAATTATCATTTTCCTCTTATATATAATTTTTTAAGTTTTCTTTCCAAGTATTTAGTAAAATCGTAATTTTTAAATAGTGTTAAGAATATATTATTCAAAATTGGGAACGAAGTAACGTCGAATTGACGAAATCACAGTCCATTTCCTGACACAGCTGTCCTACATTGTTCTGTGACGTATTTCGTGATGTGATGCGTGGCAAATTGAACAACGTTAGAGGGAGAAAGTGTCGCTCTCGCTCTTTCGCAAAGAAGCGAACGTCTCTTCATCGCAAAAATAGAGATACCTCGCAACGTCCGCCAGCCGGACGTCCATTCTGAACGAAAGTGACTTTTTGCAAATTCTCGCAATGATAATGAAAGCTGTCTAGCGCGATTGTCTACGCGATCGAGGTCTACGAAAGATAAGTGGGCGAACGCGCGTTTGTCTTCTGAGGAGGTGGCGGACCCTTACCAAGCCCGTTGTTTCGGCATGCTACCCTCTCTCTCGAGAGCCCCGAGAATCGACACTCAGTTCTAAAAACCCAACTAATACCTCCGAATAATATTCTTCGTTTTGCTGCAGTAAGTCGACGCACAACTCGGCGAGGTGGATGAGGTCCTCCAGCTTCTTGCTGGGAGACGCACACACCTCGCCGCTAAGATCGTCGTCGAGCTTCGCCTCAGCAGATAATTTTCCGTAATTAACAATCGCCGCCGTTTCAAGGCACCTCTTTATCAACGCCTTTACTTCCTCCTGCGGCACTGGCACCACGCTGTCCTTCATCAGAACGCGTTCCAATAGAGACAAGGTTGATTTCAGCGCCCCTTCAGGCCGCCCGAACGGGAAACTGTACCTGTTGCAAAAAAACAATGTGTCGTGCCTTTCTCAAAGGAAGCCGGGGGACTATTTACCTGAAATTGGTGATCTGCTTCTCGAGAATCAATCTCAGCCGTTCCTTGATCTCCTGAAATTTGTCTCTTTCTTCATGGGTGATCGAGCCCTCTCCATCGGTTGTGTTACCGTAAACATGAGTGGCGCAAAAGGCAAAGCTAAAGTGTATCAATGTCGGATCTATCATGATCCCACGATCGATTCTGTCCAACAGATCGTTAAGGTAGCAAAGATGCCGAAAGCACCCACGCACGCCGTATCTATCGTCAGAAAACAAATGTCAGTCGACATCGCAAACAAGATTGACGACAACAAATTGTTGTGTTAAAATGTTTAATTTTCAGATTTATATATGATCCGTCATCGTAGTGCAACTGTAAAACGGATGATTCTCTGTGGAAAAAATAAATGGAAAATGTAGAATAAAATTTTTTTCAAGCTTCGAGTTTAAGAAGATTAATTTTGAATGTGAAAAGAACAAAGCCGCATGAAAAAATTTTTATTTTACACTTCTGAATTATATTCATACGAGAAATTATCCTTTTTTACAGCTGTACCATAATTACGACTAGACCTTGTATTTTATTTTAACTTGCAAGTCTTAATTTTCATGAAAATGATCGTGATTTTGTGATCAATTTTTCTTGACTGAAAATAGCAATTATTACATGTATTAGAAATATATATGAGCAAAGAGAGAGAAAAATACACATTTAATTAAAACCACAATAAGACACAATCTGTCTAATGAGAACATGACCAACATAAGTTTTGAACTATTCGTTATAAAAAAGTAAGATGAACATACATTACTTATTTAGTACTGAACACTTTTATATTAATAAATCGTCGAGTCAACCCTTGTCTATATATATATAATTATCTGGCATTTCCAAGGCATATTTTCCTACTATTCGAGAGCTTTCGATTAAACGTGATTACAAACGAAAGTTTTGCCGATCACGCTCTTGTTAGACAGACTGTGCGGGCGTTTGTTCGAGTGCAATCATACGAAATGCGTCTCGGAAACGGACAGGTGAGATTAAAACTCGACAAACAGCAACTTCATTACCTGGCGCAATATTCGTCCAGCACAAAAAGTTGACCGGGCGAGAACCAGCCGAGCGAGCAGTAGGGATCATTCAGTCTGTAATCCAGGATCAAGTTCTGCAGATACTTGAACAGGGCGGCATGGTCGAACTTGCACGGGTCGGCGCTTATGTAGTCTTCCATGCCGTGCTTCTTCGCCCGGTCGGCGTCGCCCTGAATCTTACTGATGGTGGAGTTCTTGTCGGCCACCGAGACCGGCGGAGTGGGTTTGTGCGACTGACCGGTCGCCCGGTACATCGCCATCACCCACAAATGACACTCGTTCTCGTCGTCCGAAGCGAACACTACATGATCGCCCTCGCGAACGGCGTTGAAGAAGAACCTGCCGAGTATACGCGACTCATGAGCGGATCGTGCGATTGCACATGGACTGGACACTGGCCGACGCATGACCTTTGCCCCGCCAGCTGGGAGATACTCTGCGCGCTGGACGCGATCGTCGTAATGAGAACGAGCTTTACCGAAAGAACTCTATCTGCTCTTTCGCATCTAGCTACTGAGTACCGGCTAACTGCTCGCTAGGAAATCAACGTGTGATTGAGGAATAAACTTTCGGGTCGTGGAAGCGAGCTGTCTGAACTCCGGATTATCGCGGAGCCGGAGCGAAAATTCCAAGATCGGTTCGATTAACGGCACACGAGCTCGATCCAGCCGGAAAATCTCCTCGGTGTCTAATTTTCATCGGGCTTTGTCTACTATTTACAAGAAACGTCTAATAATGTCGCGGCAATGAAAACGAATGAAGCCAAGTGCTGCCACTACTACGACGCATTGCTCAACGTATCATATCAACGTGTCTAGCAACATATCGGTTAACGTTGTAATGAGAAAAAAAAACAGACAAAAAAAAGGAAAAAAAGAACGGCAACTCGCAATAACGTTACGATTGTGTGTGTACTACTACTCGCATGCTGCATCGCGGCGGTTAGGTATTTTTCACTCTCCGGCGGGTGGCGGGGGGAGAAAATTTACCTTCCGCCCTCTAAATCCATGCCGACCACGAGATTAGCAGAAACGACCTCGGTATAGTCCACTGTATAGCCATCGAGCTGCATCATTTCCGACGGCTCGCTTTTCTTCTCTTTGTACGAGCACATCGCAAATGTGTACTGCGAGACTTGGACCAACACAAAGTACCGCTTCTTCCACTTTTTCCATACGGACTTGCCCATCGCGAAGAGATAGCCGCAGTGTTTCATGTTGAGCGGCTTGTCCATACGACATCCGACCTTTATACGTAGATCCTGATCGGCGCAATTCTTGGGCACGATCATGGAATGCCATTCGGGCCCTTTGTTGTGCATTGGATTCGGCCGCAGTATCACCTTGCCGAGCTCCTTGTCCTCGAGAGCGAGCATCGCTGGGTTCTCGGTGTACAGTCTAACCTTAACCACCGGTAGCGGATGCATCGTCGTGAAGTCACCCTGTGTATCCCACCTATAATATACCCGAGGACGAGAATGACTCGATCGGTCCTGACCTTCCATGCAGTCGATCGTGATCGGTCGATCGTTTGATCGTCCGATTCTACTCACATGGGCTTGGAGGCCTCTGCCTGATCAGTTTGTAGCTTCTCTCCGCCCTCCACTTCCATGGTGCAATAAACTATTCTATTGGATGCTAGGCTTTTGAGGCCCTTGACCTCCATTACGACTACTTCCAGTTGGAAGGTCAGACCGACGTCCATTTTCGTCAGCTGGGGATCGGAATCGGCGGAGTCGCCCTCCAGTTTACCGAGAGAGCCCTGACCGCGGCAGCGGGAGCGCTCACCACGATGGTTGTAGCGCTTCAGCTTCTGCAGCCCGTATTTGCTGTCTATCGAACCCTTGGAGACCGGTAACGACTCCAAATTTGACATTAGCAGGTTGATAGACGACTTGAGCTCCTCAATGTAGAGCGACTCCATTTCTTTTACGAGGAATCTGGGCATGAGCTTGCGGTTCTAGGAATAAGAGAAGGAACGGCCGGTGGTCAGGAACAGAGCAGAAGCAATCGTCGAAGAATGCGTGAGAGTAACAACAGAGAGACAGTGTCCCAAAGAGGACGACGAAGCGATCGAGAAAAAAAAAAGAAAAAGCGGCTGTACACAGAGAGAACGATTCCTTTCGAGTTAATAAACTGTTATTTAATTCAAACAAATTCATCTATATGGAATAGTCCAAATAAGCCAATTTTTCAATCAGCCGGTACAATTGTTTGGCTTTTCGAATCATTTTATTGTTCGATCTTTCAATTTATTATTCGATCAGAATAATCTATTGTTTGGCTTAAAGAGAAGAAAATTATTTGCTTAAAAAAAAGATTGTTTCACTTTATTTTGTCATTTCACTAAAAATGGCTCGACAATTCTGGCTAAATAATCCTGAAGAAATTTGATATTTCATTTTTCGCACTATTGACTGTCTCTTCTTATTACTTTATAGTGTGCATGCCTTCCTACATCAAACAACACGGTTTAATCTAATGAAACAAAATGATATTTGATGTAAAATTATGTTATTTGATATAAAATTATGTTGTTTATATCCAAGTCAAACAAATAAAAAGAATGGAATCAAACCGTTCTCTCTGTACCTTCTCCATCTCGTTGACCTTTTGTACGCGACCGTCCAGCTCCCTCCTGATGGCGGCAGCCTGCTCATCGACTGAATCCAACAGGAGGGCGTTGAACAGAAGCTGGTGCTCGAATTTCTTGATGCCGAGGATCTGCTGAAACATGTCGTACAGCTGCTCCTTCGACAGTACCGCCTCCGAGTTCGAAGACTGCTGTTGCGTCCTGGAAGACCTCTTGTCTTCTTCACCTATACCTTTCACGATACAATCATACTTGGCCACCCAGGACGTAAGCACAGTCTCCTTGCTCAGTCCATCGATTTCCGGGAGGCACCGAACACGCTTCTCGATGTTCTTCTTGAATATCTCGCGGAAGTCGTTCTGGGTACATCCTCCGCTCTGCACCATTTGCAATGATCTATCTGACTTCAAGACCACGTCGTGAAAATTCTGTATGGCGTTTTGGAACGCCTCGTCCGCCATAATCTGCGTCTCGCCCTTCAAAAAACCCTGAAATTTACACGAGCCCGTTTGAAAAACCTCCGAAAGCGTATCCTGTGAAATGCGATTTTCTCCGGTATTACAACGCTCCTCTCGTCGACACTCTCAATTCTGAATTTCACTGATTAGTCTTTTTGTATCATCATGTATATATCATCATGTGTATATATATATATATATATATAGAGTATTCGACGATAGGCACATTCGCCGAACAGAGTGATGTACCGAATATTTCTTACGTAACGCGTAGGCGCACATCTCCTCACTAAAAAAATGTCAAGACGTCGTGTTGTAAGGAAATTTGACTTGGCACAGCGGCAAATACAAGGAAGATTAACATGCATCTCACGCAACGTGGCATAAACCGTGAGACACGATTGTGTCGATATAAGAGGAGAACGGGCTATATTTATAGTGGCCAATAATTTAATGCGATCGTATAGCTTCGATATATTCAGCAGAAGAGCAGCGAAGGTGAAGGTTACACGGTAGACAACTATAAGACTCTGAATAAGGCTTCGAGAAACGACCATCTGCCACGAAGGGTTTCGCTTTTCTTACTCCGTAAAATGATAAATACATAATACGTGTATTCAAACGGTATTCATGCACGAAGAAAATGTAAATGGACGACAATGAGTTATATCGTGTAGCATTTGTCACGAAGCTCTAATCTACAATTCTTATTTTTATCATCAATTAGGATTCGTTTCAAACGAAGATTTATCTGGTTATTCACCTGACAACGAGAGCATGTCGCCTCCAATAATTGCTTCGTTACTTTTATCGGCTTCCGCACCATATCCAACGGTTGTTTGGCGTTGAACGAATAAGCGATGCATCTAGATATGAAAACGTAAAGCTGGATCCGCTGCTTTCTCTCCACCTCTTCCCTCTCCTGCTTATCCTAAAGAAGATAAGAAGAAACAGGTATCGGCGAAACAGCGGTGCGTATCTTAGAAAAATCATAATCCAATTTTTCTCCGCGCAAAAGAAATTGGGCCAAGCAAAACGTTTCCTCGCAATTTCTGTTGTTCGCAATAATATAAGAAACTGTCGTTTTGTTTACATTATCAGACTATTTCCTGTGAAAATTCGCCTCGTACCTATTTCATTATTTATATCAGACATTCTCGAGTACATCCGAAACAAAAAGAACGTCGGAGACATTTTGAATGTGTTAAAACGTCAAGAAGGAACATGCGTACCTGCAAATCCACCTCCGTCTTCTCGCTAGCCACCGACGGTGACGGGCTCGTGGGCCTCTGAGCGTAGTTGGCGGCATCCTGAGCCGCGCTCATCGACGGCGACAGGGAGTTTCTAGCGCTGGAATGACTGCTGGGCACGTCCAGGCTGGATGCAGTGTCCTGCTGGCTCGTCGTGCTCGAAGCGCGACCCCCAGACCCGTAAGAACCCGGTGGACCCACATGATTTGGGCCACCGGGCGATGCGACGACAGTCGAGGCGAACGAGCCAACGCTACCAGAGCCCGGAGCGCTGCTGGCGCTGCCGGGATGGCGACGAGAGTTGTGGGAGCTTCCGCTGCCAGCACGGCCGCCGCCGCCACCACCGCTGCTGCTGCCATGGTGGGTGCTCTGATCCTCCTCGCTCTCCTCTTCGGACGAGCTTGGGTCTATCATCGTCTGAGAGACGCTCTAAGGGGATGCGCACGCGGTCCTCGACCTCCCCGTCGCAGGAGGCCCAGCCGCTTCACGTGGTCACGGAGCCGTCGTGCTCACTACTTCCGGGAGTGCTCGCTCTTCTGCTAACTGAAATCAGTATTCGTTTTCACATTTTTATACGTAGAAATTGTCGTTTGACGGGCGATACATGAACACGCGAGCGGAAAACGTAAGAAATTGAATCGCAACTCTTATTTTCGTTTTACACGACTGCAATCCCATTAATGGACTGCTAGTGTGGCGGATATTATGGGAGCTGGAAGAAAAACTTGAAAGTGTCGAAACGACTTTCTTCTCAACCAATTTTATTTTACGTTTTACATTATTTTTACTCGACGAATTTCTCTATTGTATGTTCGTATTTCTCGCTCGATTGAATAGCGACATTTCATTATTGGCCACAAAAGCGGCTTTTGAATATTCAGAATTCTCTGAAAGCTCTCTGAAAGCTTTTTTGTACGAATATTTTCTCGATTTCCTGTAATATTCAATTCAAGTCGAGAAGGACATTTGGAATTTTTTCTGACATTTGAACAGCTAAATACTCCATGAAAAAAGATAAGCTGCATCGCGACTTATTGCAAATAAAACATCAGGTGTGGCTGGCCGGTAGTAACTGGCCACATTGAACAATGTAGTTGCCGAGGATTAACGGATTTTATAGTAGGAAGTAAAATTACAGTAATTCCGCTCCTCTATGGCACAAAGCTGTATTATTTCGCTAAATGCACAGCGCGTTCAATTATCGTGATTAAGCGAGGAATTTCTAATTAAGTGCAGGACAACTTAACGGTCACCGTTGAACCGACCACCGTGCGATTGTTACGTTCATTGTCTGACACGAGCGTACGAGTTGCGTGCCGGCGGCGCAATTTGCATTCGGTCTTTCGGCGCAACTCGTCGTGAACTTCAGGACGCTCGCGTCGTAATTGGAGACTATCGTACGAAAACGAACGAAATCACTTATCCCGATCCAGCCGTCGACGCGCCAAATGGCAATTCACCAGAATGCGCGCGAGCTTTGAAGCGCCCCGAAAGGGCAAAAGTCTCAGATGGGGCCTTTGAGCGAGGTCCTTTCCGTTTCTCCATTAAGGGCCCGAGCCAAGAACCCGAGATAAACCATTGCGAGCGTCCTGCCGAGAGGCGCGTTCAAATCGGCCCGATAAAAGCGGCAGAAAAATCGGTTCGCGCATTCCGCGAAGAAAACTGGGATTTAATCCCGTAACCCGTCGGAGAGACAGCTGAATTTATCGGCTTACGGCGTGCTTTGTGCGCGCGGCTTTGGCGCGTGGTTTTACCTTAATTATAATTGATCGTTTGAAGACTCCATCGCCTCTCTCTCTCTCTCTTAAAATATTATCGGATTGCCTCGGGCGAGTTTCAATCGACTCTTTTACGAAAATTTATCGCGGCGGTCGTATATTAAGATTGAAGACTCGCCCGAGAGAAAGATATGCGAATTTCGCGCGGCTGTAGGATCTAAAAACTCGTAAAATGATCTTTCAAAGAGTTAGGAATACTCCAAGTTATCGGAAGATTTATGAATATACGAATTTTAAAATGCTTGAAATTAAACGAGCGATATGTAATAATGTCCGGTCGTTATTTCTGTCGTAATTATTTAAAACGCTGCGGCAACTCCGAAAGTGCATGAAATTATATGTATATGTGAGGATTGAATCAATTAACGTTCACAAATTAAAAGATATAACAAATCGATAGAAAGTCATTTCAAATATCTTCGCAGCAATCTCTCTTTCTCTCTCTCTCTCCTTCTCTCGTACTTCGGTATTTATCGTAACTGAGCGTAACATTTTTCCGTTTATCTTTAGTTCACGAGCGCGTGTGTGCGCCGCGATTTGTTAAAAACGCATATTTTCGGCTGAAATTGTCAAATTCGCACGGTAGTTTTCTACGAACTTGCAACGGTATCGAATGGATTTATTGACCTTTCCAATACGATAAATACGCTCCCGTATTTACTGATAGTATAATACTCTCCAATTTCGCGTAGTACGCGAACTACGGATGGCAAAACTTAATTGCATTTAACCTCTCCGTACGCGCAATGCAAGTCCATCGATAATTGAATCGACTCTTTGATGTGCATCTGTAATAGTAGGCAGTCCTTCGCCCACTCCCGCGTGATATACGTCACACTCGATTTAAACTGTCTTCCATCCAGCGAGGAACTCGCCTTCGAGCTGACATCGGAAATGCGCATTGATGCGTGAAGATACGTAATATCTCCGAATGTGTTATCTCCACGCACATTTCGCGGTCGTATTTCGTGTAAAACTCCATGAACTTCTGCTACATTTGACGAGTTCGAGAAAAAATTTCCAGGGCAAATCCTTCAACGGATTTGAAGTCGATTTTTGCAAATAATATTGCACAATATCACTGTTCCCTGTCATTTTCCGATGTTCGATATTCGTTTTTCAAATGACTAAAGTTTCATGTAAAATTTTTGTTAAAATTAAAGTAGGAATTAAGGGAGAGGTAAAACTTCATCCGTTTATGTCATTTAATCTCAATTCGTCAAAATGCGTTTTTCTACTTTAAAATTATACTGCAGTGAATCTGAAGCATTCCTATGTGAGATGGTTATATTTAAAATGATATAAATTGACGTCTGTTACTCTTAAGGTAATAAATTCGTATTGCATCGCATCTACGATATCGAGAACTTACATTCCGATGTTCCAAAAATAAGTTCTCACGAAAACAGTACAAGAAATAACAAACGTTCGAAAAGTGGTTAATGTCGTCGATAACAATGATACGATCAAATCGATGCAGATTCTAAATTAATCGCTGAATGAATCTTAATTAAATTTTGCCCGGCTCCCCAATAGTACGCATTGCATAGGTGTAATTACATCGACGAGTCTTGTCCGTATAAGATGCTTTAGATTGATGGAAATGCCAGCGGATCGTTCTCAATGGTATAACATTCTGCAATGGTTAAATGAGCTGACACGTGCAGACGTGCTGCGACGTGCTGCGACACGCTGAGACGTGCTACGAAAAATAGATCGCCTATTAGAGGCCTGGTTGCGTTAACGGGAAAACGCTTTTCGCATGTCGTCCGACGAGAGGAATTATTTTGCCGAACGGAGTCAGGTTGTTACTTGCGCTTCATCCTACGCAACTCAGTTTTACGTAATTTTAATATAATGTACGATACGTTTCTCCTTTTCGAATTAATTCGTTCGTTTCTACGTAAAAATTAGGAAATTAAAATAAAAGAGAGAGAGTATTCACTAATATTCTTATACGGCTTGTAAGGTATTCAACCAACGTGTGATGAGATTAACCGCAAATGAATCGCAGTCAGAACTGATGAATATCAACGAATATTAATTTCAATAAAATTCTCTTGGAAAGATAGAGTCAAGTTTTTTCACCTTTATTTAATAATAAAAAACAATGTGAAAAATATTGCGTTAAGGCTTAGTCATGTATTGGTTCTTCTTGTTAATGAAATTTGTTAATGAAATTTATTATCAATAGCAATTATTAACAATTGTTATCAATTTATCACTTTCACCTTCGCGATCTTTCGTAATTTATCAAGGCAAATTGAATTTATATTGCGAATAAGCACGCGAAGGGAATGCAATCCGAAAACGAATTTATCCAGCACTATTCTACCTTTGACCCATTTCTTCAGCGTTGTCTGTTCTCCATCGAGTCACATTTGTCAAACAGATACATCCGCGACGAGACGGGCAGTCTCCACAGATTCTCTCGACTTCCGTGAACTTTGTTCAGAACACTTTTTCATGTAAGTTCTCCAAGCAATTCCCAGTTTTCAAGAATCTTGCGCAGCTTTCGCTCGGTGTATCGCGTCGCGTTAACGCACAGAAAGCGCGATCGGGCAGCGTGCAAAGAGAGCCCTACTGATAGGGCAAACGGAGGAAACTCGGTTGGTTGGTGCCGAGCCATGGGACTTGACCGCGCAGAAGCCGTCGATAAGAGACTTCCGGCCAGTGAAATCGGAACGAAAAGGAAACTCGTGCGGCGCACGTGAGAGAGAAGAGCCTCGCGAGAGAGCGTGAAAGCGTACCTGTTCTCTGCGTTTCGAGGAGAACGCACTTGTACTGATGCGTGTATGCACGTGCGGCCGTTGTCCGGAATTTTTCCACACGCGATCATCGATTTCCGCGTGTAATACTGCGCGCTCGACGAATGCAGGAAGTGAACTGGAACGGAAGAAAGACGTGCGTGGCCGTCACAGTGCAAACATATCGATTGTCTCCGGCCCGTCCTTCTCTCTCCGCTTCCTCCTCTCTCTCACTCTTTCTCTCGCGGGCTATATCCACGATTCGCGCTTCATGTACGCACGCGTGCACACATCGGACACGCATCGTGTGTTTAACGCCAAGCGAGCGAACGAGGTTGCCTGGAAAATCGAGAAAAGTCGAGAGAAGGACCGGAGAAGGTGTCAAAAAAAAAGAAGAAATTCAGAAAAATTGCGAGGGAAATATCTTAAGCGCGAGCGAAATCGTTCGATCGATGATAATCGATGCGATTGCGTAGATCGCAACAAGCTGGATCCTAAAGTTGCTGTATTTCTTGTTACAGGTTGTCCTCTGGCAGGTATGCACCTGTCTGAGACGAGTTCCCCTCGTCCAACTATGTCGCGATTCCACTTCGCATATCTTTCCGGGCATTGAACGTTCGCATAAGTGCAAAAAAGAAATACTGGTCCCGTCCACATTGCGCGTCTCGTATCTACGAGAGAACCTAGAATACGAGATCTTCGCGCTTAACCTTTTGTTTCCCAGCGAATTATTATCAGCGAACCTCGCATTTGCGAAAATCAAATCTCGGATTTTGCGTTAACGCTATTGTACTAGGCAACAATAAGGACTCTCACGCATGTAGAAAATCATAGTTTCAAGTACTGCTGAATTAATAATAAAGAATCGCGTGATAACGCATGAGAAAGTCTCGCATGATCGCGGGGATCCATGGCGTTAAAAATAAAAAAATATTCTTTAAAAAAAGTGGGGAAAAGTTACGAATAAATGCAACACAATATCGACATGATGTGATCACGGAGAAAATATTGTACGCTG